CCAAAGCAACTAACCAATATTTCATTAGTTATTAAACTTAAAAGCCTTGGTAACAGAGATAAGCAGATAGAGGCCTCTCATGTAATTTTAGTTAACTAAATCGGAGTATTTGCTTTAAACTAGCATCTTAAAAAAATGTCATATGAAATGAAACAGGAGACGATTAAAGTTCAAAGTGTATTTAACAGCTAATGATCTTTGTCTGGCGCAATCCATTATCCCTTTAACAGCTGAGAGAGTTGTAACCTGTGATTCATCTGTGGGGTTTTTCCTAGCAAACTGACCGTACCTGTTTAAAACGACTGTAGTCATTTGCTTTGTTTACAGTATGATAATTTTTGTTTCCAGTCTTTGAAAGACTAAGATGTGATCCTTTTTGTGTCAGTCGTTGAAAAGCTAAGTTTAAAAGGTTAAAGAGGTTGGATTTAAAGAGAGGGGGAGCATTAACTTTAAGTCGAGGCGGGTTCTAATCTGGACGGGGGAGAGAGACGGTTATCTCCTCTGACCATTATGACAAACTGAAAGATTAAAAGATAAAACACCTACATGTTCTGTGGGTGTCTTTGTCTCTCACCTGATGGCTTTGCGTCACGCCTAAATCAGAAGGGCGGCAGTAACTCAGATGAGCACAATCTACTCTAATTCCATAAAGAAAGCATATCCGCTACAGTGCAACCGGTCCTTCTTGGATTTGCTTATTTGAGTTGATTGTACCTATAAAACACTTAACAGGATACCATTTAATCTAATATAGAGCTTTTAACCTTAATACATGTCCTTATACCCTCTTTTCTGCATCAGTATTTGTTTTTATTACTTGTCTGACAGTAAAATCCACATGCATTTGAATACTATTAACATGTAGCATAAATAATAAGCATACTTCTACTTCTGAATAATTAAACTGATAGGTTAAGTTTATTCTTCAACCCTAAGAAATATATCTTTTACAAACCGACTCTTCTAGCTCCTACAGGACTGTACACTATTTCTTCAGGTCAGGGTTTCCTTCACATTTAGCTCAAGCTGATCACATGACCAGTCTCTCTGCATTTTACCCTCCCTTTCCATCTTCTGCCTGTCATCCCCCTGCTGCTCACCATCCCCCTTTCCCCCTGTAAGCTGACACAGCGCCTTTAAACATTAGCCGCTTTCTTGCTAATAGGATCTCAGAGGCTTAAACTGTCATCTGATAAAACTAAGGAGCTTGATAGCTATGCCGCGCCCTCTTAACCAATTTGTACTCAATTAGGATAATGGGGAAACAAGCAAAGAGGGACAGCTTTAATATATTAATGTGATAAAATGATTATCAATTTCCTCTGCCTATGAGTTGGGTGGTATTAGGAGCATCTTGCAAGACTCTTATGAATATTAGCTGATGATAAAGTCAGCTAAATAGTAAAGGTAATACTAACATGTAAGTTACATTTGTGAATATCTCAAATATTGTCTGTCAGTGGTAAAAAAATATGCATGGGAACAATCACACAAATAGAGCTAAGAGGAAACCTTTCAAAATAAAAGAAAAGTAGCTCTTGTGAGTAAATGGATCTGTGGTGGCTTCAGCGAGAATTACAAATGCAGGAGCATTTCCTCAGAAAGGAGCCATTATCCATGTCACGGACTATAGCCGTGTAGTTTATCTAAGAGTATCCCTAACATTAGTATGATATTGAAACAATACTTAACAGTGTATTAAGAAAATGATCAACTGACTTATTTGGTTGGGTTATATTTTTGCAAATTAATATTTGGTTTATTGTAAAAGAGTTAGCTGAAAATAACAGCTGATAACTATACAATCAAAGATTTCCTTGCTTACACTATCAACGTGAACAAATATGTTTTTAAAAATGGTTGGGATGATGCCATCTTTTCTATATGGGAAAACATTTGTTAATCTACTGGCTAACTTTTTCTGTTATTATGTATACTTTGTAACACCTGTATTTCCCTCACGACTCTCTTCCTCACTTGCTTCATTAATTAATGAGACTAATTATTATCTGCTTAGTCCACTGACAGTCTTATGGTATCAGATTACTAAGGCAATTAATGCTTCTTTCAGTTTACTGTCGTGTTAAAAGAATATTGTGAAATCCTAGTAGATTAAATTTGATCTGATATAACTGCTGAAAAAATAAATAACCCTAAACATAGGTAATTCAAAAACTATTGACATAAATCCAAGAATGATGAAATAAAACACTATTAGAGAGATATATACATGGGGGAAAACTGCTGCTTTTGCATGCCATGTAGTTTTTGTGCATGTGGTGACACTTGAACTATGGCCTGCCTGAGTGACTAACTTGAAAGCCCCATCGTGCCACAGAAGCATCTCTTAAGTTCTTTATTTCTTTGTTTTAATGGCTCACAGGCAAGAGTAATGGGCTTTACTGTCTCCTCTTTCTTGGAAAACAACCCTGATAACCAAGAAAAGGTGTTCAGCCTAAACCATTTAACTGACAGCCATTCTGCTCATACAAAGCATTGGCAATGCATGCTCATGTTGCCAGATGGCTTTAAACTCGTTAGCAATTTAAATTCCTCAGCTGCTTAGGCGTGAGCCAATCATGCAGACGTGTGTTTAGTTTCTGTACATCTCCCTAAATCATAGATGATGCTCATTACTGTGCCGAAGAATAAACAAGGAATGATATAGATTTTGCATATTGGATCCCCCTTTCTTGTTGTCAAACAGAATATTATTATGTAAAAAAAAAAATCCTAATTCAACACAAAATTCTGACCCAAATCGAGACTCAACAATTGGAAACATGCAATTCGGATACTTTAGGGATAGAAATATTATTATCAATATTGTATTTTAGCTCTTTGTGTACCTTGGTTGAGGTTTTAGACCTAATGTAAAGCAAAAGCACCTTGGTTTGCATTGCTGATGGGTTTTCTCAAAAAAAAAAAAAAAAAAAACTGATGGAAAATTACTTTCTACAACACTTTTCCATATGGGATTTGGAATTTGGTGTGCAAAGAGCTCCTAAATATAACTTTGGAAAGGAGGAGCCAGGGCAGAGGAAATCTCTAGTGAAGTCTTTAGGCTCATTAAGGATGGGATTGATCTCTGCAACACCTACTGCAGCCACTACAGCTTGGGTTGTGCCAGCTGGCAAAGGAGAAACTTGCAGGCTGCAGGAAAGAACGACCCCACTGCCCCTAACCCAATTCTCCTGTGAGCTATCAGAGGCTGAGCTCTGAGACTATTTGTCAAACAAGCTTAGTTATTTTGCCCTGTACATGTTTGACGTATGTAAACATTATGGGAGTATGTCACAGTCTTAATTTAGAGAACAGGCTCCAACACTAGCTATGTCTGCTGATAGCTTGTGTTTGAATTAATAAGGTCAAATCAAGGATTGCCCCTGAGGACTTGGCTTCTTTTGACTTGGGTTTTGTAACTCAAGACTACTGGGTTCCTCTTTAAGTAAATCATGAAAGATGCAGCATTAAACATCAGGTTATTACACTGTAACTTTATATTTTTAATAACATTAAGAAACCGCCCCACTAAAAAGTGTAGTGATATATTTTCCCTGGAAATGAAACTATGTTTATTTAGTTTTCTTTTTCCAATTTTTTAAAATTTCATCATAAAAATCTAAAGAGTAATGCTGCTCTCACCCACAACCCTTGCCAATAACAAAAAATGCTCACTTGAGTGAATGTAACTATCTTTTATACATGTCCTTATGGTGAGTAGCCGCTCAAGTTAAAAGTCCATCCCTGTGTCTTTTCTCCCTTACATTGTCTATAATGAAGGGATTAGCGAAAAACTCAGTACGAGCCATTATCTTTCAGACAATAGATTTTTTGAAAGAAAGTTTTGTCGAGGCTTCATTAGCAATGGCCTCCCTCTGTGGTCTGAATGCAGGACACATTTGGAGCAATTACTTGACCAGAAAACAACTGTCAGTCATTCTTAAAGGGGAAGGATTCCAATTAATAAACCTCTTAAACCCTTTGGTTTTACTACCATTCCCCCGCAAGCTCTGGTGTCTTATGAGGTTAAGGAGAGTTTTGTCAGGGGAGAAAGACATTACATGTGCTTGTTGCACAGGACTTCAACAGTAGGTTCTTTGCTCACTTGTGTGCAGGGGATTTCAAGGACTTAACTGGGAGTAACAAGTGCCTACAGTAGATATTGTTAGTGTCAATCGTCTGCTCATGGACTCGAGACACCATGTGCGCAGTGCTGCCTGTGTTGGGAACCAGAGGAAGGTAAGAGTCCTTCTTTTCACTTTGTATTTTTTTTAAATATGACATCCTCTGTTACATGGGTTTCACAAAGCCTATTTGTGTTCAACTAAGTGGTGATAATATTGTCTTTGGGAGGATTTACATTCCAAGATATTTTACAGACACTTATGTAAAAAAAATACAAAACCCATGTTGAGGATGTTAAAAATGATGAGGTTTAAAAGATGGGTAAAGAAAGTAGAGAATTATACTTGAGTTACATTACTCAAATTCTCACTTTTCAATTCCTTTTGATTGTGAATTTCTATCTTAATAGACAAGTACTGGAAAAAGTTAGTGAAGTTTCTTGTTTTAGAAAAAACAATTATCTGTATAAGTACACAAGGCACTTTTGGTAATGCAAATTTTTGCAAATGCTGTGTTGAATTTCCACCACAGTTTTAACACGTAAAAGTCAGGTTTGTGTTCTTTTTAATAAATATATATATATAAATATTTATCAACCATGTATTCATCTTTATAATGTAAGTGCACGACCTTACTGTGTTGCATTTCTAAACCTTTACAGAAGATGTGAGTTTCTCCTGCGTTTGTGAAAGCAACTCATCCAAGGTTCCTGAAGCCACTCTTAAGGATACACCTCTCACTCTTCTCAGAAATCTGCCCCGTTGCATGAGAAGCAGAAACAGCTCCTCAGAGCAACTGTCCTCCATTGTCTCTCTGTGCACAACTTTACTTTTCTTTAACAATAAAAGGAGACAGAGTGCCCAAAGGCTCGGATGCATTTGTCAATGGATACTCTGGGAATAGTGGACGATGGTTGCTTGGACAACTATGACATTGCAAAAGGTGCTGGGTCAAGCGGTGGAGGAAGGGTCCATAGCATCGATGTTATACTGGGATTCAGCAAAGACCAGGACCCGTTACTTCATTCAGTGGGAGAGGATGACAGCCAAAAGAACAACGTAGAAAACCCGCAGCATCCTGAGAAGCATCACCCGTCAGACCCCTATGGGCATCTCCCTGAACTGGGTGACGGCTCCCAACACTCCTCCTACCACGGTGAGTCTTTTAGGAAGAAAAACTCCAGTCGGCCACAAAAACTATCATTTCTCCAGGATCACAACAACTTCAGGGGATTTTGTCTTTAACTGCGCAACAAGTGTAATTAGAGCTGTGCTGTGTTTGGCAGAGTCCCAGTAAAACACAGTAGTCCAGTTTTTCCATGTTTTGAACTCGTGCCCTTCATTTAAGAGTTTGAGACTCTTAACACCTAACAGACGTAAGACGCTGGCCAAAATGACCCCAGTGTCCAATATTAAGTTAGATTTGTTCACAAGAGTAAAAGCTACACTGTTAAATCTTTCCACTTGAAACTTTTTCTTCATTTCACATAGTGAGTGAAAACTCACCATTCCAACTGATCAGTTGTATACTGTGCGCGTGCCTTTTTATGTGGAGCTGCCATACCTTTAGATTTAATCAAATGTAGTCAAATAAAATATCTATAAAAAATTCAATTTTATCAGGTTTTTCAAATATTTCTTGCCTTGGGCAAACATCTTATTACTAACATGATTTACGTTAATTTATTAAAATGTTGTAGTGCCAGGGCCTTGGTTTTGTGCATGCTTGCTTCTTGGTCAAGTTAAAGGGAGAAGAGCTAAGATTAATGTCATTAGTTCTACCTGTGCTCTTCTTGACATGTTCACTGTAAGGCAGATCTCCTCAGCATACCGATCTTACTTGGTAACCCTTGGGATGTTTGAAAGGATTTTATGATTGCTGATGGGTTAAAGCTATGTTAGCAGATCAGATGAAAATAAAAGATAAAAATGTCAGCAGTTACTGCTTTTGATTACCACTGATTTCTAATTTGAATTTCATTTTCTTTTTTAATATTTTAGTTGGACATTTAACAGGCATGACACCCCAAAGGAAAAAAAAACCTTTACCCTCTTGCTGCTTAACTCATGTCATGAGTTTATCTATAATCTCAGAGGCACACATTTTATGTGTTTTCTTAAGCCTCATCTTAATTTTCTTTCATTTTTTTAAGCAGATAGCACAATGTTACTGAAGGAGCTAGTAAAAAAGTCAAAATACAGAACAGTCAAAATGCTTAAGAAATATCAACACCTGAGCATATCCAAAAGCGGTTGCATGACTAAAGTCTCTTTGTGGCCATGCCTGACTGTGGCCCGGTGTTACTCCTTAATGCATGAGTCCATGTGTTTGGCAGACGCCAAAATCCTTTTTTTTTTTTCCAAGAAGACACTAGATGACTGACCGTATGATAGAGTCTTTGGTTTCACAAGTGTCATGCTCATTTGCTGATAAAAAGAATGGAACTCATTTAGTTAGAATCTCCACACAAACTACAAAATAGAAGCCCTTTGGGACATGGGGCAGCACAAAAAGGCAATAGAGCAGATTTAATTTCTGAAGTAGAAACAATGACACTCAAAGATCATCATCAAAGAAAAAACACAGACAGGTTTTCTGTAACCTTTGGATGAACACACCAAAGAGTTCTTCATACCTACACAGTATTGGATATTTTTTCGTATTTACAGAGTAAAGCTAATCTTACTTTTCACTACAGTTCTGCTAATAAATATGGTCATTTGCATGGTTAACATGACTGGTATGACAGACTATAGATCTGTTTGAACATAGCTGATACATGTGATGTGTGCAGGCACTTAAAACCACTGAAACTGTTTAATTTAAAAGACTTATTCCTTACCAACACTGAAAATTTTATGTCAAATCTAGCCTTAACTTCCTCATGGTTGATAATTAGTTAAAAAAATATGGAACGAGGGTGGGATGATATATGCGATTACAGCAATGCATAATGGAAAGGAAAAGCTAACACTTACACCTACCAATGATGCATCACTTGAAGCAATCCTGTTCTAATGATCACTAAGCGTTGGCTGATTGGATTGTTTGTTTTTCTACAGTGATAAGTTGACTGTCTTTCTCTAAACCCTTTGATATTTTTAACAAGCTTCAGCGCAACACACTTGCTTCATTGCTCTACATTCATTTCTTGGGGGACATAATCTAGACTATGACTGTTTACTCGGCTGTGCAGGAGCCAACTAAAGTCCCTTGTTATAAGAGGGGGCGGGGATTGCAGGTTTAACTAGCAGCATCTGTTACTATGGGATTACAGGACAGAATTCAGTGAAAGACATGATGTTATTTGGACTTGCCAAACCCCTGTTGTTCACAAGGGCATCAGTCATTAAGCTATATAATCATCAGGAGAAGGGTGAGGATTTCACTTTTTGATCAGGCTGTTTAATGAGGTGCTTACTTTGAAATGATCCACAATCACACACATATAAAAATGTTTTTTCCTCTGGCATCCACATTTACACAGTCTTGATTGTGATGCTTTAGATGAGGTGGTGAACATAATTGACTATTTCCAAAATGGTGGACTCCTTGGCTAACAGTTGAGCTATTGTGGTTTAAAGGTACAGTAGTCTTACCCTCCACGGACCTTAAATGCTCCTTTAACTCCACTGTCCTCTCTCTCTGTCCTTAATGTCCTCAGCTTTACTCAGCCAAATCAGATTTGTCAAGATGTCAGCATTGCCAAAAATTAAGCAAGCAGTATGTTTACAGATTTGAGACGAGTTGTGCACCAACTTGTATTTAATAAGTTACATTAATTGAATGATAATTGATGTGCATACTTTTACATCTAACCAATGTATCCCACCCCTAATTTTAGAATCAGACCTTTTCTCTACTGACAAGTGCGATGATGACATGGGGGACCTACAAAAGGAGGTGGATGTCCCTGAGGGATCCCCTGAGACTATAAAAGATGAAGAACACACTAAAAAGAAGCACAGAAGGAACCGCACCACCTTCACAACCTACCAGCTTCATGAGCTGGAGCGAGCATTTGAGAAGTCTCACTACCCTGACGTCTACAGCCGAGAGGAGTTGGCTATGAAGGTCAATTTGCCTGAGGTTCGAGTTCAGGTAAGGAGAATGTGCTTGGTGTGCGATTGGTAGCACAATGGTCGTGCACTGAACTAAAATCTTGAATATTAATTTACGACCAGTGATGATATTTCACATTCCTCGGATCCCTCTGCAAAAAAGAAGCTAAAGACAAGTTTAACAAAGACACCACTGTAAGGCGCACCACTGTAAGGCGCACCAGTTTAGTCCTTGCTCTCTCCCTAATATTTTTGTCCCCCTGAAAGAGACCTCTACAAAGCTGTTACAACTTCCAAATCATCCCAATAATGCCACTAGTACAGGCTCTGAATGGGAACTAAATCAGACTGTTTAAGACATGAACCATTTGCAATGCCAAATTCATTTTAAGTGCACCACTTGTGAAATTATGTACTTAGACATAACACATAAAATTACAACAAAGTCATATATCATGATTTCTTTTTTTCCAGGTCTGGTTTCAAAACCGGAGGGCCAAGTGGAGACGTCAAGAAAAAATGGACACCAGCACCATGAAGCTACACGATTCCCCTATGCTATCCTTCAATCGTCCCCCCATGCCTCCAAGCGTGGGGCCAGTGGCAAACCCAATGCCACTAGATCCATGGCTGACCTCGCCCATCTCCAGTGCCACACCTATGCATACTATCCCTGGGTTCATGGGTTCACCACAGGGCCTGCAGCCTGCCTATTCAAGCCACAGCTTCCTGAACACTGCACCTGGGATGGTTCAAGGTATGCAGGCAATCGGCCCTCCTCCCTACCAGTGCCCACCCAGCTTCAATGATAAATACCCAATGGAGGACGACAGGAGTTCCAGCATTGCGGCACTCAGGATGAAAGCCAAAGAGCACATTCAGTCAATGGATAAAACCTGGCAGCACATGTGATCGGACGAGGCACCATGGATGGAATTTTTGAGCTGCTCCCGTGAATGTTTACAAACTGCTTTTCCACTGATTGTTTCATACACCAATCCAGAGGGTACTTGACACCCAAGGAGTCAGATACTTTTGCACTGACCCTAAAAAGCAGCTCTGGATTTGGACTTCTTGTGAGTTTTTTTTAAATTCACTATAAAATTAAAAAAAAAATGATTGTAAATTTTTTAGCCCCAATTTCTGGGAGTCATTTCTTTTGGGTCAGCTAAAAAAAACTCTTGGGAAAAGACTATTGTTTAAGTAAGAGATAAATGTCTTCAACATAAATGTTTTAATACATCTGTGATGAAAATAATTTTGAAAATTGTGAAAAAAAAAAAAAGAAATATCATTACCATTCACAACTGTCATGTTGCATTATAGTCCATCAGAGGATTAGACGAGCCATGTGGTCAGGAGTAGAGATGTTTGTGTGTGTGGACTGCCTTTAGGAAAGAGTTCAACGAACTTATGCAGGTTTGCAGTCTTCATTCAGAAATGTGATTTTTCAAAGAGAACTATAGTTTTAAAGTGTGATAAACAGGCAAACTCTGCGTGAATATGGGTTTCACATTTACTTGGTCTATATTTGTGATGGTATCATCAGGAGGCTAAATAAGCTCTAGGGGGCATTTAACACAACACTCCTAGAATGAACGTGGTGTGTGTAAGAGTCTTTTTTTTACCACTGTGTTTGTATGGTTGGGTTGTCATTTTTTTTTTTTGTCTTGTTTTTTTCTAGACTGCATAAACTGCTGCCTGGAATTTTCTATATGTTTTTCTCTTCTTCGGGTATTGGGCGCAGCTATGTGTTTTTAAAACCACTTTTCTTATATGATGGAAATTTGATAGTATGTTCTGTGTTTTCTTTTGAAATCATAAAACTGGCCTTTAGGAGGGCATAGAGCCCTGATGGGGGAGTTGATCGGAAGTCACTGAGTGTAATCTGGCTCAGAGGCTAATTTAAACAGACAAGCACGCCTCTTAACACCTAATTACTGCTTTTAAAGCGATTAACCCTGGATTCTCAACCATAGACAGAATGCCCTCAGATTCCCCTGAAAAAGCCTTTTTAAGGCCTGATTAACTTCACCCCTCCCCACAAACTTGACCGTTTTTCTTTTTTTTTTATTAAACAGCGCTGCATATTACTATTAATACATTGCCTCCTCTTAATAAGCAACCTTATTTGTACAGGATGCAATTCATTGCATTGTTGACAAAATATTCATTAAGTCAGATGGATTTAGAGCGAGTAAGTTAATGGGAGCTGGCAGCCTCTCTTTCCTCTTGGAAGTAGCTCAGTTTGATAACCCTTTTGAACTACTTTGTATGGCTTGTGTTTTATACTACATTTGTTCATAGCGATGCAGAGAAGTGGTTGGCTGCACAGTGCATTTACTTTGTTTTCATTTTCTCTCTCAGTCATTAACGGGACCATCAATGCTTTAAAAACAATGTAATGGAATAATGTATTCTTCTATCTCAAAAATGGTTAGCGTTAACCATTACTGTTTGAGATATGGGTTCAAACCAACCTTAAGACAAAACTAAGATCTGTGCTTTAGGGAAATTCATCTAGCAACTCAAGTTCTTTGTGGACACCTTAAGAAAAATGTAATAAAAATAAAAATACATAATTTCAAAAATATTTTCTGTATGTTATGGCCTTTAGAAATGGCAGGATCCACACTGTCAGTTTTATAAGTTTTGCAGTCAATGTAAATTCTGTTGACAACAGTGGACTGAAAAGCCAAAGAAATACATTGAACATTTATTATGAGGAACATTGCTATATTTGTAAGAATGTTTGTTTTTAATTTTTTTTCATTTATATCATCTCTCATTTCTATTCTCTTCATGTTCTTAGCCTGTGTCTTTTATTTTCCATGCGCAAAACACAGAATAAAGTTACTGTAGAGCCACTGAAAACACACTTTGAATGCGGATCTTGTTTTTCCTCCTACACATGCATTGGTGAGTCACCAACATGGCTTAGTGACGTTAATGAGCGCTGGTGTACAATAGGCCATGTAAGCTGCGACAGAGCGAGCTGGCCTGATGGAGGCCTGTTGTGTCCGTCCAAGCCTGTGGAGTTTTGCCAGGCCGTTAGACAGATGAAGCTCCACTCCATCAGGCCCAACCAGGGGTGTCAGGAGGCCCCGCCTGCTAGGGCTGCAGAGGCCACAAGGGCTCAAGCTCTAATTGCCCTCCGTTGGCCTGTGTGGCTCAGCGGCTCCAATTTATTTTTGGATGGCAGATTGCATTGCGGTCTATTTTGCATCGAAGTACTTTGTTACAATTAGGAGGCAGACAATTTAAACTCAATACCTCTCAATTTCTGTGACACTGTCCACTTCCTATTCATGATGCTTCCATTTATGGTTATATAGCTCTGGAGGTTAGAGGAAACTGTCAGATACTAAGTGAGCTGTTTTTCAATTATCGTGCAAAAAACCCTCTGAGGGGAAGGGGTTAAAAGAGTTACACTTTTTTTATTGGACAACTTCACAACAGAGCAGCATTTGAGTCTTCAGAAGGAAAAATAAACAAGAGGAGAAATGGCTGGAAAAATAGAACTTTTCGCTATTGAACAACAATGAACAAATCCACAGCTAGATAAGAAAATTTGCCTCCTGTTTATACATTTTAAATCTAATATTTCCTTTTTTTTGAGTGCTGAACTTCTAACTAATGAGAGATTAATACTGTGCTTTAAGTGACATACATTGAATATAATAAAATGAAATTAAAAGCACTTAAAGTCACTTCTCATGCTCTCACCTAGGAGATTAAGAGTTAAAATACACTGTGCCATGTCAATGTCCCAGCAGTTCGGCACAGTAGATAAATGAACTAAGTTAAACGTCTCCATATTTAGAAATTAAAAAAGCCCTTCTCCACCCACCTTTGTCAGAAAGTTTTAATGTTAACAACACCCTGAATTTGCAGTAGACGCACTCAGAACTAGTATTTAATTACACACATTATTATGTTATTTTGCTTGGCCAAGCGTGGCCTTCACTGGGGCCCGGGCTCTAGTTAACAGGCTGACGAGTGGGACATGGTCCATGGTGGAAATAATAAGGGAAAACAGCGGAATTAATTGGGTTTGATTAAGAACACTTTTCAAAGGGACACCATTTTCCCCTCTTGACATAATTGGGGATCACTCAGAGGGTGGGAGGGATTTGATGGCTGGCGCCAGTTGCTTGTCTTTGCCCCAGTGTTCACTTTTAGAGAAAGGACATGCCACTCAAACAGCACTCCTCCCTCGGCCTGCACACACATGCATTGCTACGATTTCGTTGAAGTTACACATTTCTTCTACTTCTCTTTTCAAGCAGTGAACAGTGATCTGTTCCCAATACCTGTGCCTTAACAAATGCAGCTCAGGTACTAAGGTTGTACACAGATTCTAATCAAACATGTCACTAAAACTCCTCATTTAGCCCCTCTCCAATGAGACTTGCCTGTTTTATGCCGTGAAAGTGAGTTGGTGGTGAAGCATTGTCTCTTATCTTCTGTGCCTCTTCGCTCTCAGGAGTCATGTTCCCTTGACCTGTCAATAAAAGTCAGCATCAACATCTTAAATACTTGGTTAAAAGCAGCACTATCAAAAAGGGGGACCCTTACGCACCTTGGGGCAACAGGATGAGGTCAACAGAAACATGTTGTTGGGTGGCTTGTATCACAGAAGCAGATCAGCACCAACCATGATGGTTGAAGCCATCCAGCTCCATCCTCCTGGATATAAACAGGCATTAAGCAGTTACTTGTTGCTGTTGGGAGATGTTGGCACATATCTGAGTACTGTTGTATTAACCTGCACTCTGGATCAGGATTCCTCCTTCCTGGTCTCTGCCTGTCATTGGTGGATACTATAAAACATTATAAATGCACCCCAAACACAGAGGTCCTTCACAGTCTCTTTAGTTGTCTTATTTAATAAAGGCAAAATTTTCCCCCAATAACTAATAAATCAATAAAACTGTAATAGATTCTAAAATGTAACTATCTGAAGTAAACCTCTACACAGGGATATGATGATGAAAAGAATTTATTATTATGGGTAATATGTTTCAATAAGGACATGCTACTAAATTTTATTTGATGTCACAAAGCAGGGCAACCCCACGCAAGATCCAGTGGTCTGGTGGCTGGAGGGTGGGTAACACCACTGCTGTGATGTAGTTCAGATCTGTACGCCGTGGTTTCTTGTAGATGGGACAGACATAAAGCTTGGGATCCACAGGGGCAGTGGAGTTTATGGCGAACATGTGGATGACAGGCAAGGGTGTGAAAAGCTCTTTGGGTGAGGACTCAACGAGAACACTGTTCTTCCTGTTCCAGCCAGCACCCTCCAGGTAAAGACCGTAAACATAAACTCCTTCCTATTGGGAAGAAGCAGCAAATGATAGAAGCTTGATTCTTGAGGAAAAAACATCAATAGAAAAAAAATTGCTCCTAATTAAAAACACAAGTAGACAACACTGTTGCAGTTATTGCATCGATCATAGATAGTTGTTTTATTATTTGCGTGCTTTTCCACTTACTTCAGGTGGGGACTTTATCTCCTCCTTCGTTTGGTTTAGTACTTTGTTGTGCAGGGTGACTGTGTCTAGAGCCCAGCCCTTGTTTGCTCTTTTTACTTCTTGTTTCATCGCTGTAAGGAAACCTAAAAATATTGCCGAGAGAAACGCATGAGAAGCATTTGTTAACTGATGGGGAATTATGTCTTAAGATGAATTTACTTTTTAAAAGCTCAAAGATACAGTTATTTAAGCACTGATAAAACCAGCCAGTAACGGCTGTGGTCTTTATCTTGAGCTAAGTCTCACTCACCCTGAGGGTTGAAGAACCCTGTCATCCAGAATGTTTTGGGCCTTCCTTTAAACACCCAGCTGTGGAACTGTTTATTCCTCTCAAGAAGCTCTGTGAACCAAAATCCCAGTGTGGATGACTCCCAGGAGATTTTCCTCCACAGATTTGGCACACGGGCATCAAACATGTTGTCAAGGGCATCACGGAGGTTCTATGTAGAGTGAAACGCAATGTCATAGTTTGATGGCATGTCAAACCCTTCAGAGAAATCTATTTTGCTGGAATATTCCATAGTCATAGTCTTTGGAGGACTTTTATTGATACTGTACAAAGCAAATGTATCTTAGAAAGGTTTAGAAATAATCTGACCTCACTCATGATGATTGTACCATCAATTGCAAGCTTCAGGTCAGTCAAGCTAGTGCGCACAACACTGATGATTCTTTGCATTCTATCCACCTCCTGACGAAGGAAGATGTTCAACGGTTTAAGTGCATCCATCGCCACCAGTCTGGCTTTGACCTACATCCATAAAAATTGAAGAGATCAGATTTTCGTCATTCATAAAAGGGCTTCCTAAACCCTTATTACTAATCAAACTGACCTCATGTGGCACATAATTAGGCGGCAGCTTTTCCAACATGTCTTGCGCCATGTCGTAAACAATTGACTCTCGGGTCACTCCGGATCCGCCTCCACTTTCCTTTGGCTGGATATTTGTGATTGTCTCCAGCACTTCAGCAGATGTGTTTGTCTGATACCTATTCAAAATTAGAAACAACATAATCACTGTAATAGCAACAATATAAAACTGAGTAGGCACATACATTACAGGCACAGTGACTTATCGACTGATGATTTTGGAAAAACATTTCCTCACGTGATATCAGCATTAGGATGTAGCCCCAAAGCTTGAGGGGAATCAACAGTTGGCAGGCTCCGGATGTTTTCCATGTACTTCTCTACTGTCTTGCACACAGGAATTTTGTAACCAGTGTAGAAGACAAACGATGGGTCAAACATCTTTTTGTTGAACCATACCTGTAATTAGAAGAACAGCTACTTTAAGTACTGTGACAAATTAAGTACAACTGACAAGAGCGGGCACAAAAATTAGATTATTACCCGTGCAAAACACTGCAGCAGCCGTTTGTCATAGTCATCTGTAACCCTTCCTCCATATTGCACCTCAGCCAGCATGTATCGCACAGTTACCCATGACACATCCTAGCAGTTAAAGTAAAAAAACAAACAAACAAACAGTAAGGTAAGGAAAATGTTCGACAATGTCATGGGTGAAACATTGGACTACTTTGGCCAGAAATCACCTTCTTTGGGCCACAGTCGTCTAGGTGTCTTTCAACAAATTCAATACTTGCACTGAAGTCAGCGGAGTTAAATTCATATGGGATGTTCCAACCCAATGGCCCAAATTTACGTCGTTCCTGAATTGAAAAAACAAAACAAATCAAAACAAAACAAATGATCATCTATAAAATAATACCCTCCACAAGCTAGACTAAATTGTACTCACTTTCCTTTAATATACATTACACAGCCCTCCAGAAGGCCTACTATCTATGTTTTTCTTAATTCTCTTTCATGTGAATGAGTGCAATGTTGAATCACTTTTAATGGGAATTAAAATATTCATCTTTCACCCAACATCTCTTACTGCAGAATTACAATTCGGTGTGTTCGCCTCTCCTGACTGCTTTATCTCATCAGTAACTTCAGAGCAGACAGTACCTGCACAGCAGAGTGGAGGAAGGCCACAGTGTACAGCAGAGGCTTCCACGCGGGAAGGTTGCTGACTTCCAATTGGTTCTGTGATATTCCTGCAAATGTTCGTTTCAGGCCGGCCCGTATCCCCTGAGGTGGATCGTTGGTAAACTTAATAGAGGACTACAGGTAAAGAGTTGAGAAATGTAAGGTATAAGTTAAACATTTACTGCATATGAGTGTTCAAGATAAATTCAAGACCTTGGATCAGAAAATTGTGGTATGCACTTGATAGGTTAATAAAATGTTACACAAAATCACCTGCAGGAGAGTGATGGAGAATCGATTGTGGGGCTCTGTAGTGATCCACACTCTAAAAGTATCATGCATTGACTCTGTAGTTGAGATAGTTTCCAGCAACTCATCCATAAACTCCAGACCCAGGTGACAATTTTGCAGGAGGACCCAGCCACCCTGAACACATCAGGATGCAGAAGGTATAAGGTCACAAAGTCTACTATCATCACAGCTATTATTCCTACTACCAGTTTTTCCCCCCATACACACCTGTTCCATGGATGTCTGGATGAGTTTCCTTGCATGGACCTCTTGCCCTTGTCCCATGGAAATAGCTCTACATTCTATAAGACATGACCATATGGTAAGTTCATAAAAACCTGTGTATGTCTGATTCATCACAGTTAGGGGAAGCTAATGATAAAAGATCGCAAGCAGGCCAGCAAAGCTCACCGAGGTTAAGTTTCTTAGCAAGTGCTTCGATTTGCTCAGTAGGATCTGAGCCCATAGAGAGGAAGCAAATAAGAGGGGTGGGAGGGTCACTTTCCTGCCATGTGGTGTGGAGGTTCAAGATGACCGGCTCAGCAAATCTCATTCCCATTGATTTTGCTACGTATTTTCTGGCCTGTGACAAAGTGCGGTCAGGACACCAAGACCTGTGGAGAAATGCTATATTTAGTATCATGTTGTTTATATAGACAGGTAAGCATTGTGACCAGCAGCATGTCTAACCTTATGAGCAAGAGCTTCTCAAAGACATCAGAGGAGTTGTATCCATCAGGGATGACACCTTCCTCTGGAGCATCAAGGTTGAGCCATGCTTTCCAGGCTTTTCCATTGTGAGAAACCTGCAAAATGTGTGATTGGCGACAACTTTTCCCACAGACTTTTTGAAATGAATTGAATCAAACCTGGGACTACAGCTCACCTGGTCTATGATGTTTATGAACTCTGGTAACTTGCTGAGTTCCGCCAAGTTTAACCAGACCATATCTTGAATCCACCCAAATGGCTTTGGAGGACAGGTCTTCAAGTCCAGAGCAGCGCCGCCTGTTGTTTTATTCAAAGAAGTTATCATGTTAAAATGATGCTGCAGCAAATTAAAAAGTATGCAAACATTTTCTTTTCCCATTGGTTATCTTACCTTTAATGAGAATCTGAAATTTGTCATGCTTTATCTTTTCATTCTGTAAGTCAATCTTGAGGGCCAGCAAGAGTGTGAAGATGAACTTGTGGTTTTCATATAAACCTCTCGCAGTGTACCTGAACACTTCATAGGTCAGATATTGAATGATGTTTGCAATTCGCTTCTGAGTTTTGGAGGACTTCTCAGACCTGTAAAAGCATGCCCATGATGTGAAAAACTAAAAAGTTAAGATGAACAATGCTACCACATTCAGTGAGATTACAGTTACAAAGACAACTGTTTAGTTTTTACATAAATGCATAACAGCACATACAGCATGGTTCTTTGTGTGGTAGCTTACCTTTCCAATGACAGGTCAAAGATTTTGAGGAACTGACCCAGAGACGTCTGGTACATGACATTGACCATGCTCATTTCTGTAATCAGGAAGTAAAGGATGCTCCCTCGGGATGCAACGGGACGATATTCTGCTTGAGCTGCATTGATCTTCAACTCTGCTTCTGCTGCAACTTGGAGCTTTTCGCTCACTTCAGCGGCAGTTTGCTTGGTTGTACTTAGAATGCCAATCATGGAGTCATCATCAACCAAGGAACCTTTGAACACATAAACACACTTTTAACTCTCACAAGTTTACAATGGCAAGGAACCTGGAACCAATCCACACAGTGATCTGTTGTACCTTTTGTGCTGCTAAGTTTATACAGCAAGTTGTCTTCCAACTCCTGCATCTTTCTCTTATTTGCAGTGACATCCTCAATTAGCTTCAATCTTTCTGCCTCCAGTTCCTGCGTAAAAATTCAAATAGCTCCCAGAACTTATGCAACACAAATTCACATGCAGTTGAGGGCGTATTCCATTTTCAGGGCTTAATACTTGAACACAGTTACTTTACAGAAATAAACCCTGCTTTTGGAGTTTAAAGGCTGCCCAGTGATCTTTTACAGTCTATTTCTAGGTCTTGAGCTTGAAGTGTTTCTTGTTTCGATCTTAGTCTGAAGTGATAATATATAATGTTGCTAAAATATCGTAGGAAAAAAAAAATTGCGCACAGAAACTTACATGTTTCTCTCCAAGGATGACACGACCAAGTAGCTGGTTCTCCAGGCCCTTCATGTTTACAGTGAAATCAATAATTGATGTCTTGGCACTGACTTCTGGGGTGTATGCTGGATTAGGAAGTTTGGTGGTTATATAGAGCTGGAAGCCATCCATCACATCAACCTCCTTGTCTCCAACTTTAACCTATAAAAGAGAAATTCATGAACGTAAAAGAGCATATTTATTTGTTTCAGGTGTTTCGTTGGACTGAGTGGGTATCACTGCAGGCTACCTTTAAACTGGTCCCAGATTTAATAAAGTTTTTCTCAAGAACATTGTCAAGAGCAGGGTCCAACTCTTCACACACATCTTCAATGAGCAGTGGGTGTCCCAAAGAAAGACAGTCTTCCAAGTGAGAGCGAAAGAACTTGTGGTTGAGTGATGTCACCTTAAAGAGAGAAGAAAGATATTATTTTTATGATAATAAAATCTAAAATGAGCAAAGACCTCTGCCTGTATTTCTTAGTGTACTTGAAATGAGTTGGACTTTTCTTTTTCCTTGATCCAAGCCTTCCCCTGAGTCTGGGGATCAATGAGGAGGGGATATCTTGTTGCTTTTGTGACAATGATGCCATTCTGCACAGAGAGGTCATCTCCTGGGAGTCCTTGAAGGTTCCACTCACTTATCTTGAATATAAACAGGAGCATGTATTTGAGTATTGCAGAAATAACCTCTCATGTAGTGAGTACCTAAATTTGTGTTGCTCTTACAGTTGGAGGATCTACAAGGGACGAAATGAGGTTGAGGTTTCTCGTAAAAGGGATTTCATGTCTAATCAGCTCCGCCTCCCAGACTTCTTTCAATAGCATGTCCCTGAAGCTCTGGTTGAATGGCCCACAGTAAGACAGGAAGCCAGTAAGCTGGAGCACATCACCAACAAGTCTGCCATGACAAGCAAAACTTCACTGAAAACACTTTCATGATTAAAAAGGTAAACATCCACTCACACAACCAGTTCTAGTCCCAGTTATGATAAACATTCTGTTGGGATGTTGGTTCCTTGGAGAATTTCCATGCAACCCACCTTTTGATCTGTGACTTGAATTCTTTCATTTGCTCTGTCCAGCGAACTTTCTCTCCACTAAGTCCATTGAGAAGTGCAGATGCGGCCTGCATTTTATTCTTACACATTTCAGCATCATCAAGCAAGTCCTGAAAAAACATTTTTTTTAAGTGATACAAAATAACGTTTTTAAGATGGAGATCGTTAAATTGTTAAAAATGTTTGAAGGGGTGAACACACCTGTTTCTCCTTCATAGCAGCATCACATTTGGCCTTCACTTGGTCAAATTCTGCTTGTTTTTCAGCCAGCAGGGTCTCAGCCTGGCTCAGCTCATTATTTGCCCGTCTTAACCGACCTTCTTGGACGCAGAGGTTGGCCTGAGGATATACAAGTGATAATGAAGCTCACAAAACCACAAAAGGCAAATTGAGAAGCATAGTTCAAGTGGTGCTTTTATCATTTTCATAAAGTATTGCCTATATTGCAGTCATTCTTATTAAATAATTTAGGAGAGGACTGTGAACAGAAAGCTAAGTTTCAAAGGCTCAAAGCCCAACATTTAAACCAAAAATCACCAAGGCCAAAGACTTACTCTACCTTGAGTGGTAGTACTTCTTTGTTTATGCCATAGAATGTAGCCATGGCCCTCGTCCATGCTAGCAGACCAGCTACATTACCACACACTTTCCTAGCACTGCCCATTGTGTAATCCTGCTGGTCAAAGTAAGGCTGTAGCAGTTCAACTTCTTCTTCATTAATTTTTTCTTTATTGAACTGCTGGAGGGAGGTCAAGAAACCAGTAGAGCTAATAAGCTAAAGAGAAAAAAAGGGAGTCAAGAGTTACTTCAGAAGGTAAATAACTGTTAAGGTATTAGAATGAAGGTATTACATGGGAAGGCTGAGTAACTGGGGGGAAATTTTTGTTTTTACCTTCTGAGCCTCTCCCCAGGATGGCTTCACACAAAGTCGTTCCTGATCAATTGTGACGGTATCCAACTTCTTTTGGAATAACAGCACACAGCAGTCCATAATCCTCATGATCAGATGTGGAGGGTTGGCCAGTTTTCTCACAGTGGCAATATCAGCAGGCTTGATAGTCTGCAAGATATTTTGAAGAAGCAATCATTTATTTTCTCCATCTTTAACTTTTATAGCAGCATATCAGTGAGTGCACTTTGCATGGTGTAAATATACCATTAAAATGATGTTCAAAGAAGTAACACAAATCTCACATTAAGTGCAGCTTCAGCCTCCTCTAACGCTGGCCTGGCAGCCTCCAGTTTTTCCTCAGCAATAGCTTTCTCTTTCTCAATGCCATCCACAATTTTCTGAGCTTTATCCTTCACAACCTGGACTTCATTCTTGACGACTGTTGCAGCTTCAGCGCTAACGGTCACCTCTGCCACCACCTTTCAGCACCATTATGAAAATAAATGCAGTTAATCACACAAACAGACTTCAACCTAAGAGTTATTCCTGTGGCGTTGGACTAGTGTTCAGAAGTTTTTTTTTTCTCATTATGACCAAGATGTGTCATGTCACTTTGTAATTCTAATTTGAGAACATTTCTGCTGAAGTCCGTCCATCAACTATCTATGCATGTACAGGAGGCTGAAGCCTGTGTTTCTACCTTGTCAGCTTTGGCAGATGCCACAGCCAGTTCCTTTTCTTTGACCTCAAGATCTTTGGATAGCTGAGCCACAGACTCACTAGCTTCCTTAAGTTTGGCCAATCCTGGAAATAGATAGGTTACATCAATTTTGCTGGGAAATCTATAATTTGCTGTCCCCCTATGTCCTTCTGATAGTATATCTTAGCTCCTGCATTTATTGTCCTTACCTGTGTTCATGCGCTCTGCCAGTGTGTTAATAAAGTCGTGCTTTTCAGTGTACAACGTTTTGTAACCATTAATAAAAGAGAGGTAGGATTTGGGGGTGACATGAGTCCTTCTTCTGAACCTGAAATAAAAACAACATAAGTCCACCGACAAAACCAATGGGCTTATCGGAATAGAACTTTAAACAGCCTAAATGGTATCATGGTATACCTCTCAAAGTAGCTTTCACAGGCATCAGATACTTTGTCATGATATACACCCATGGTGGTCACCAAAGAAGCTTTAACTTCAGCAGAGCAAACCATAGGAAAATCTAACAAGTAGTAGTTGGATACAGCCACCAGGGCATCATTGGGCCAAGGGGTGAACCAGTCCATTGTGCAGCCAGAAATTAACCCTGGAAACTTCAAAGATCTGGAGCGGAACTTTTGCCCCACCTGTAAAGAGAAAGTGGATATGTCAGAGAAAATACTGACTGCTACATTTTAGGGGTGCATGGTGATTGGGCGAGAATACAAAGTCTGAAGTACCTTTGAGTCTTTGTTTTTGGGTAATATAACAACACAAACTTTGAACCTACCGGTGAAAAGCAAAGGACTACATGCAAATTCTTTCTGGATCTGGATATGAAGTAGTCATAGAGATTGTCAAAAGTTGGTGGAATACGAGGAAACTCCTTTTTCATCACAGGGATCAGGTTTTGGGTGATTTCCTCTATCTCATCTTTGGCAAAAAGGTTTGAGACCTGCACACAAGTCAGTTAGGTCAATTAGACCACATTTTCTCAATAAAGACTCAGCTGGATTTGATAGTAATGAAGTGGAACTTCTGTTCATAGAAGTCAAGTGACATTCTCACCTCTCCAGAGGAAAGGACATTGTTGAGATACTCCAGGAAGGCCTCATCTTTTATTTCATTGTCTGTAAAAATGAAGGTGATGCCTTTTCCCTCAGCTCCAGCTGTCTTATACAACACTTTCAGGTCATCCATGAAATTACTGATGTTGTATGTTCTAAAGAAGTAACAAAGCAAAAGTGTGGCATTTAAATCTTTTTAGAATACCTCATAGATATTTCTTGAATGCTAAGAGTAAACTGTAGGCATTTAATAGAATGCTTAAACAGGGTATAAATACATGGGGTACAGATGCAGCTCTTTAAAAAAAAAAGCAAGGCATGATTGGTTTTTATTTTTTCTACTTTTTCCCCAATTATGTGTTTCCCATCAAAAATACATAGTGTACATTTTTGGTCAGTAAAAACAATGCAAAGTATCACATATATGAGCTTCAAGTTTGCAACTATTTGGGAACTTTGGCCGTACATCATGACCCTTTCAATTGTAGCTATCAAGTAAAATCAACAGGCTCATCTTTTTCATAGACTATAATACATATATTTTTTATAACTATATGTTTATAATTGTAACTCCCAGATCCCAAGTATTTTTTTTTAAATAATCAAAAATAACAATGGTGACAAACTCCTACAGTCAAGGTTAGTATTTTATTTTCTCAACAACTGAGGTGAAAAGAAATAAGCTGATACGGGTATAGCATGTTATATTTGTTTTGACAAAGGTCAAATATTTACCAGTAATCAACATAAATAATTCAAGTTTTATATTTTCCCTTGCAATCAATGTAATATTGGAAAGTGTAAGTGTGTTTGAGTTTTGCTTGTATACCATCTCATGACCCAACTTTTACCTTGTCAGTGTAATCTGGAAAATGCTGTATCCAGCTATGTATGAAGCCAAGCGAGTCAAGCTCTGTTTTCCTGATCCTCCCACTCCCACGAGGAGTGCATTTCCGTTATCAGTTCGAATGATTCTGGAAATCTATAAGAAAAAATAAATAAATGAGAATTATCTATAGCTTACTTTAACTTTGACTTAGACTGGCTTTCCAACTGACCTTGACAAGATGAGTCATAGCATCCTTGAAGAAAACCAGGTCCAGACTGGAGCCTCTAACAACTTCATTGTGCTGAGCCTGATACATCATCAGCTTTTCTGACAAGACCTCAAAACTTGGCACCTAGGGTAGAGTTTGTTAAAATACATGGTTAGTTTTCTGAAGCTTTAGTATAAATATCTGCTAATGGTCCAATTAAAAGTTCTTGCCATTTCATAAACTTTAGGGGCGTCAAAACAAGCATCATCATCTTCTTCTCCAGTTGGCTCGGGAGCGTCCCGCATAAAGTCCACAAAGTACGGCTCTGGATGAAGTTTCTGGACAAGGCTGGAGTCAACGTGCTCTTTAACCAGGCGAGTCATGGCCGTCTCAAACCACTCTCTGTCCTCAGAGCAAATAAATCTTCAGGAGGAAAAAAAAACTGCTTGCTTTAGTTGTCAATTCAAATGTGGCTGAAACAGAAATGAGCATCACTAAGCACAGTACCTGTCAGCAATCACCCTTGCGCATTCAGTCTTGAAGAGAGCCAAAAGAGTTGGGAGGTCATTACACTCCTCGGCCTTGATGTTTAACATTCCTTGCCAAATCCTGGACAAATCTCTCAAATTGAAGACGTAGTGGAACTTGGATGGTGTAGGGAGCATTTTTGCCTTTCATGGGAATAATTATGTATCAGTTCAAGTTTTAATCAACCAAAATCAGTGCCTAAAACATATTGCACATCATTTCTAATAATAACCTTTGTCCACTGCCATAAAACTCTCCCAGCAGACACAAGACACTTAACCATATCTGATACTTCAGACTGGAAATTCCTGCATGAGTGGAAATATCCACAGCCAATCACACCTGCAGAAAAAGACAAACAGGGATTGTTGTGTTTTCATGCAATCTAAAGTGAGCAGATAAATGATTCACTTTCGAGACAGCTACCAAAGATCTTATCAATGGAGGTGTTGGATGGCAGAGTGCAGTTGAAGACCGTAAACTGCCTCTTTAGCCTTTGTGGGATGTCATTCCTCCCACCACCTGGGTGAATCATGGCAGCCAGGATCTGTACATCCACTATGGTGGTGAAGTCTCCAGGTTTGTCCAGATTGTACATTCCTTTCATTTCCATCATCTGCCGTACTATCTCATTGGTGATCTGATTGGAAAGTCACATACAGTAGTTAGAAAAACTGAACTGCATAAGAAGTCTGTATGAGTACATATACAGTACAAATTTATGTCAGCAGATTAAAAAGATGAATCAATTTAGTCACAGGTTTGTAATGCAATAATTACAACTGACTACATATATTAAAATTTGGGAGGCATGACAATACAGGAAAATTTTGTATGAATTACCCAATTTCTTGTTGGGTATTTGCATGTTTCACCTGTAACGTAATCTGTTATCCACCATGTCAAGTGTTGAACTACTCAAGATTGAAAAAACAGAGTTCTGAATGAGCTTGCACTATGTGTGGAAGTCTCCCAGCATTGTGTGTGTGTGTGTTGACCCTCGTCGCAACAGGTACAGAGGGTTAATTTAAGTCAGAGAACAGATTGTGCTTTAATTGTGGATATAATGTACAAAAAAATCAAAAACTAACTGTATATGTAGCATGTTACTTAAGTTGCTGTGAGCTGTTGTAAGATAAGGGGTGTGTACCATCTGAGAGCGATTTACCAGTCATTTTTTAACATGTTATTTTGACTTCACATTAACAGATACACAAAAAAACTTGAGTATAAGCACCTGATCCCCCCATTCATTGACAACGGGCATGTTGATGTCATCTATAAAGACCGTCATCCTGCGCCCCCCTGGTGGTCCATAGGTGCTGCCAACTCTTTTCTCAATGTAGCTTTCCACTGTTCTCTGTACACAGAAATCACAGACTTTCCAAACAAAATCCTTAATTAATTCCATGCAAACTCATCGTTACAAATGTACTGCTGTACCTGAAACATCATGGGCTCTGTTGCAGAGGAGAAGTTTAAGGATTTGAACAGGTCAGTCTCAGGGTCATATTTCTTGGTGTAGCCTTTGATCATTACCGTCTTGGCTGTCCCTTGCTCACCAATAAGTAGTACAGCCTATAAAAAATATAACGGTCATCATTCACAGAACAACTTTGAGTCAAAATGAAGATGCTTTGCTATGACAAATACTGTAGAAGTTCTAAAAGATATGTCAAGATCACCTTGCGCTGTTTGGCAATAGTCTCCAGGAGGAAAGAGGTTCTTGTGTTATCCACATTTGGCACAAGGATGGAGGCGTAGTCTGGCACATGGTCTGTTGGATAGACATACTCTCCCACATGGTTGTTCCAATGACACCATTCGCCTAAAACAGAAATCATAGTATAAGGGATGTACTTGAGACATACCAGGCCTGAAAAATTGTTTTGAAAACAGATATGAAAAGAGCACAAAATGACTTTACCAGTTTGGCTGACCATGTATTCAAACATAGTCTCTCCTGACTGTGTTTTAGGCACATCAATGCTGCTGTTATGAGCTCTGATGTAAGCCTCCAGTTTGTCCCTATCCGCCAACTCCAACAGAGCTCCCAAGCTCCACATCAGGCAGAAGACGAAGAGGCGCTCAAGGTGCTTGCTACCTGCAAAAGCTCCTTTGGTCTTGACTGCGATGAGGCCCTCTAGCAAATTTACAGACTGGAGGGTGGTTTTAATAAAAGGTCAGAGCCATAATCTTATCCTTTTTTGATTTCAGCAGTTTTGACACTACATACCTGCATCATATAGTTGCACTCCAGAAGTTCCATTTTGGGTTTGAGGTTCTGCTTCACATACAAGTAAGCATCCTCAAATATCCTGTCATACAAACTGATCATGCTTTCTGCCTCTTTAGCATTGTGCTTGTTAGTCCATCCCTATAACACGAAGCAGATGATCATCATAAACACTTCACAGTAAGCGAAACATTTGCTCTCTACTTTCCCTGTTGATTTTTGAAAATAGCCATACCTTCAGAATAGGTTTCCAGCTGAGAGCTGAGGAGCTCATGAAGACCATACCCACCCTTGACACAGTAGCAGGGGAAGCATTATCCATGTTGTGCACCTCAAACACCAGCTTGCAGGATGGGGACATTGTTATCCGGTCACCATTAGCCAGGGTCAGTGTTTTGTTATCATCAAGCACAGAGTTGAGATTCTCAATCCATATGGCATCTACCGGGCCATCCAGCACAATCCATATGAACTCCCCTAGAATGAAGAGTTTGTCTATTACCTTCAAGCTTGCATCTATACAGTCTGCAATTCTAGAATCAACTAATCATACAGAAATGCAAGATTTTTTGGAGAAATTAGCATCAAGTAACCAACCACAACAACCCACATTTTGTTCTTAAAAATTATCAATACAGGTATACTATGTTCGGGAAGCTTCAAGGATAGAAATTTGTTTAAATACTTAATCTGTGTAAGTGTACATCAAGCTTGGTACAAACCTTTCTTGGCTTTTAGTGTTCGCCTCCAAAGAGTGGAAAAGATCCCATCAGTCCAATCATTGGTGGCTGCGTCAAGACGACCAAACATCTGTGGTGCAGTGATTGCTTTGGGGTTCATTCGCATCTCTCTGTGCGGGCTCCCACATTCGGTCATGGCCCGCATCAGAATGTTTATGACTGTTGTCTTGCCAGCTCCACTCGGGCCCAAAGTCATAAGGCCATGGCGAACTCGGGAAGCCTCATAAAGCTGATAGTGACAGAAACATCAACAAATCTGAAACACACTCTCCAAACAAAGACTGTATGAGACAATGAACAGCATGAAAGAGCTCTGGACTACCTGAACCAGCTTAAGGTTCCATGGTGGATGATTGACAATACCAGCAAGCTCAACTTGATGACTAACAGCAGCTTGAAGTTCGACATATGTGCTCCCATCCAGCTGGATACCAGGGAATAAGTCCTCAATTAAATGACTGAAGAGGGGTTCATCCTCATCAACCTGAAAAAAACATTAAGACTGAAATACACAGTATATGCTGTATACTTTTTATTTCATTATCTCAGATAAATAGCAGTGTTTTTTTGTCATACCAGTTTAGAAAGATTCATGTCACGCAGGACTCTCATGACAATGCTGGACTCAGTGTCATCAGGCCGTGCCCTCTTACAGGCCCCCAGTGTTCTTAATACAGAGAGGATGTTTCGAAGGCCAAAGTCATAGTGGACCTAAAAGAAACAGACTCCATGTGAGAGGGTTTTTAATCATTCAAATCATTGTTGAGAAGCTGGCCATGTGATTCTCACCTGTTTTGTCAGCTGTTCTTCACACAGTTTATAAAGAACAAAGAATTTCTGGGCTAAGATAACATTGTTGTTGAATCCACAGCTGGCAAGTTTCACTCTCATGATGATCTGCAAAAAAAAAAAAAAACAGTGAAGACATGTTGTTTGGAAGGATTGGAGCTGTAAGAAAAAATACTGCTTTAAAGGTTAGGTAGCCTTTACCAACCTGCCTGTCTGGCACCATCATTGACACTGTCCTGAATTGCACTTTTAAGTTTTCTGGGAGTTCTTGGCGACCTGCATAACCAGGGTTCTAGACATGATGTTATAACAGGTTAGCCCCAGTATATTTAATCTTTCATTTGTGTTGTAAGGTATTTCTTGAAAGATTCCTTCATATTTGTGTATCCTACCATAGTGATAAAGAGGCCAAACTCCGGATTCAGATCCACACAGTCTCCATCGGTAAAGATGAAAGTGCTTTTGTATTTCTTGCGTGCCATCAGAACAATGTAGATCTGCTGAGCAGCAACAGAAAGCACGGGCAAGTCGATTCTGTTAAACTCATCGAAGCATCCCCAAGACCCTGACTGTGCAAGGCCTGATGAAAGAATAGATTAAACATGAATTCAAACTCCACAACAAACTCCTGGATGAGTCATTGCATTGCTTGGTTACCTTTGTATATTCTTCCAAGTCCTCTGAAGTCCATCTGGTCCGAGCAGTTAAATACCACCACATACTTGCCAAGGCAGCGACCCATGTCTTTAGTGGTTTCAGTCTTCCCTGTACCTGCTGGCCCTGCAGGGGCTCCACCCATGCTCATGCCCAGAGCCTGGGCCAGTGTAATATAACACCTGCGGATAAAACAGTGGTTCTTAGAGGCAACTTAGGAACCAAAGATTATTTAAAAGTTTGTTATTAACTGAATATTAATTTGTGCAACTCTAGACTAACCTGTCAGTTAGAGGGGTGATGACTAGACGATCAGTACAGCCGAGGAATTCATTTTGATAAATGAAGTCTACATTTGTGATACACACAATTATCTTATCCAGGTCATCGTTGAAGTAGAACCTGCTTTGCTTCAGCCATTCAAAGTCACCCACAGATCTTATTCGTTTTTTCATCTGCAGCAAACATTATTTATACAAAAGTGCCAAGGAAATTAAAACTCATCACTATGAAATGTATCAGGAGCTATGAAAGAAAATAGATGTTTTAAAGAGACCTACCAGGTCATTAAATATATCACTTTGGTGCACGTGGATTGTGACAAGTGTCTCATATTTGACTCGGTCAAATTTGCTCAGGTCATAGGTGGTTTGTTTAATGAGTGTGCGAAGTAGGTCGAGGAAATAGTTTTTGGTTGCAGGCATGATTTCCCTGTCATATTCAGCATTGCGCAGTGCCTCCTCTGCATCTCTTGTCCAAAGCATCTGGATTCCTAACAATCCCACCTGAAAAAGCAAGTGCAAAGCTGTAATATATCTATATGATGATATGTACCAAAAAAAAAAGGTTAGTCAGCAATTTGTTGGGCTGTCCCAGTTATGAAGGGAGGCAGGAAGAGAACCTGGATTCCCCTAATAAAGTCATGATCAACCTTCCATGTTTTTTGATGGATGTGGCCATAAAAAAAGTATTAAAAAATTGACTAACGGTGGATAGTCATTCTATAGGAGTCTGACTTGTTACTCTTGCTTAATGGTGCTCAAGCAACCTTATGTATAAGAATAGTTATTTGGGGGCTACTTAGCATGACAACTATCAAGTACTTTGAAATATTTATCAATACTTCTCTATTGTCCTCTTACCTGTGCTTGAAACTCGTCTAGGAAAGGGAGAAGATCAAAGTCTTCATCATTGATCTCTAGATCTGAAGCTTTGATAACAGAGTGTAATGATGCCTGTTGCTGTATCAACAGCTCCCCGAGCCAAAGCTCCACTGGTCCCTGTGCCATTACTGGAGTATCCAGCTGAAAACAAAAACACACAATTACTGTGTTATATTTGTCATCAATACATGAAAGCAGCAAGTGTGTTCAGTTATACAGTAAATTTCGCACAAAACACAACAGGCTCATGCAATATAATACATTGGCATGTACTGGATGCAAATCCTCAGTTTCTTAATGGCACATGCAGAATGACACAGCAGTAAAAATCTGAAAATATAACTGAAATTACATACCGGCAAGATCTCTCCTTCTTGTGAGATTACAGACAAAATTTTGTCATATTCTGTTGCATGAAACTCAGCCTCATTGACATTATCGAACACTCCAAGTAGATGTGACTGAAAAGTAGATCATACCTTAAGTTAGCTTTCTTGGGTATAATACTAATAATTACATGTAATCCAGGTCACATTCTACTTCCCTTTTGCTAATTTTTCCACATTTCAAAAATGACGTTGCCTCAGTCTGCAGTATTTATAGCACTTACAGGAAAACAGAATAAATTTGACAAAAGTTTGTAATAGTTAAATAAAATTTTTGTTACAGTTAACCCCTCTGTGGTTTCCATGCAATGTACCTGGATTGTGTGAGAATCACTGGCTTGTCCAAGGATTTCCAAAAGGGCTGGATCAGACACAAAAAAGAACCGCGGGAACAAGAGCCTCTTTTTCTCAAGGTACCTGTTGAATGTAATAACATGACATCTGTGTAAACATCATTCCACCAAATGTTGCCATCATTCCGGGCAGTAACTTGCTGTTGAACTTACCAGGGAATAAAAGAAAACAATAAAAAACAAAAACACATGAATGAGTATAGAGATGACAGTGAAATGGTAAAAATAACACGAACTGCAAAGAGTCATTATGAGTGATATGATGAACCAGCTCTGCTGTTATCTTTCAGTAAGGCTGCCTTAGTATAACTGCACGTCTATGTCGCTTGAATCTTTCATACAATGGTGTTTATAAAAACAACTGCAGAACTTAGTATGGAAAATAGATTGCCTTTACAACAGGAATAATTTCACATTATATGACAGAACTACCAGAAAAGTGTTTTAAGAAAACGGATGTTGCTGAAAGAAGAAATATGTTAAAAAGAAACAAAGTGAGAAAACAGAAAACACTTTACCCTGCAAGAGACTTTTGACAAAACTCCAGCTGTTTCTGAAGATCTGGCAGCAGCTGTCCTAGGGTTTGATCACCCACACAACACTCCACCACATTTGGGACTTTTTGTGCTCGCTGCATGATTGTAACCCAGGACTTGTCAATGTTCTGAAAACGTTTTGCTTCCTACAGAGGAAAAAGTATGTCAGTATTTTAATAAAACAGATGTCAACATTGAATTTTGGTTGGCAGTAAAATACGATGCATAGGCCGTACCTGTGGAAGGTCCTTGGCAATATCACCCCCAACAAACACAGCCTCCAAATAGATCCAAAGGTTCTGCACAATAATCCACTGTTCAATCACATCAAAAGATGTTGAAAGTTTGGACACCCAGTCCTGGATCTCTGCTTTGTAGTAGGCACAGTATCTGTTTGACACACATGGATTTAAGTTCCCAAAGACATACATTTTGCAGGCATGGAGTCTAGGAGGGTGCATTTTACAAACAGACCATAATCATTGTCTTTTTTTTCCTTTCTGAAATATCTGTTGATGTTCATTTTATTGTTTTATATTTACTCATTCTGTTCAATCATTTTGTGCACTTCAACCATTTTACTACCTGGGTTTAAACAATGGTCTGTATTTTGGTCAAGGTGTTAGTAATTTCTGTGCAGCCGAGGTTTGCTCTGTCATACCTGTTGCTTAGCAGTGACCCCAGCACCATCAGACTATCCTCCAGAAAGGTGAGAATCTCTGCTGTCTCTGCACCTTTCAGCATAAGTTCCCCCCTGTCTTTGAATGTCATCAAACTCAAGATCTGGCCAGACCACACTGCTTTCACTTGTAACAACTTTGCCTCGATGTCTTTCTCCTTCACAGCTGATATACAGATGTCCTGAAGTACAAATATACAGATAAAAGAAAATGTTAGTTATATGGATAGAAGTTTAGGCAGGATTTAAGCAGAGTATGAAAACTACCAACTAACCTCAACATCTTCCTTGTACTTCAACAGAGGGGCTTCCATGATGTTCTGAAGCATAAAGGTCTCAGACTCCACCTCAAACTGATGCCCAGTCAGGTCTGTAATCCGGTCCCAGTGTCTTCTCATCATAGATTTGTTTGCCATCATCTCAAGCAAAAGGCACGACTCACTAAAATCATCAATTGTCTTCCTCAGGTCAAAGAAGGATTGCCAGCCCTTGAGTCCTTTGGGTAGCTTTCGGCATCTAGAAATTAATGTAAAAAAGTGCATGATTTGAATAAAAATATGAACATAATCTTTGATTAATTACCTACATTAGAAAAAACGTACCTTTCAAAATAATCTGTTTACATTTCAGCAAAACAACTAAAACTAAGCTGCTCCCTAGTAATGTACTGGATCACAATTTGGCAACAAAACAGTCACAAAAATAACTTACTGACAAAACTAACATAACTAACAAAAATAACTAATAACTAACCTGTTTTGAAATTCCAAAAGGTCTGCATTGATCTTTTCAATATCCACGTTTTTCCACAGGATGCTGTAGTAACCTTCAATCTTGCCCATCACTGCATCATACAGGCCATAAAGTTTCTGTAGTAGGTCAAGCTCTTTTCTTTAAGAAAAATCAGTGACATGTTAAATTACAAAAGGTCTCAAAGAGATACAAAGTAGCCAAGAGTAAAGATACAGGGAAAAGGTAAACTTTTCAAGTGAGATAACACACTTTTTTTGGTGTAGACAGTCATACTCCGTCACTGGCAAACCAAGAAGCTGCTCTCCAGATTTATACAGGGTGAAATTCTTCCACAGTTCTTCAAAATTTGCCTAAACAGAATAAGAAGAAAGCAGCTGTGTTACTTACAAAGACAATTAAGTCCTGGAGGACTGTGCCATTTTTTGTTGTTGTTAAATGCTGCATTTGAACTGATTTAAACAAGACTAAATCAAACTGTACAGCATATCCACTACTACACAAAATATAAGTTACAGAGCTTTCTTTGGTGGTTGGGTTGGCAGCAGCACAACAGTGATGAAGAAAGGTTTCAGTAAAAAGCAGTATTTGGTTTATAAGAATGAGAAAAAAAAAAGTGATCGGTAAGTTAATGTCATATATTACAATGTTTACATGCTTCTTGTAGTTAGCTGATAGAAAAGACAGCTTTACTTTACTTGTGAATGTTACCTTAAAGACCTGGAGCCTGTGGCTGGCTTCTTGAGGAGCTATTCCCTCAACCATGGGGCCTTCCTTAAAAACAAATTGCAAAGGAACTGCTTAGCAGAAAAAAATAGACTGAGTAATGACAACCTGGTGACACTTAAAATAATCCTCACTTACTGATTCATAATGTCCCATAAAATTGCCAACATCAGATTGGAAAACAGTAACACAATCGAGAAGGTTCTGTTTGAACTTGGGCTGTTTACGAACAAGTTCATCTTGCACTGATCTCTGGGAAAACCAAGAACAAAGCAGGGTTACAGAAAATCACATAATGAATAAAAAGAGAAAAAAGGAATAATCACAATACAAACAGCTTTAGTTTGAAGCTCCATGAAGAATTGTCTAAGGTTTGACATTCCCTCTACTTCTTTCTCGGTCAGCTCTGCTCCATATTTGATTAAAATGTCAAAGGCTTCCTGTGAAAGAAAAAGGAAAAAAACTAAATGAAACATTTTAGTTCTCTACAGAGCATGGAGTCCAGTCACTATTACAGCTGTTCTTTAACTATGACGCTGTATATGATTAATGATGTGATTCATACTTCAATGGAATTCAATGTCATATCTGTTTGTATTTCAGCATCCCGAAGCTTGGACAGGTCCCCCATGACACAGGGTACATCTTCCAGATTATTCACAGGATGAGAGAGCTGTTTGAAGTATTTGCTGATATGTATGCTCGTGTCTATCATTTTCTTCTTGTACTCTTCCTTCAGGTATTTACACAACTGTGTCTTCAAAGCTCTGGTCTCAGCTGTTAAGGACTTCTTCAATGGCTCTGTTTACAAGAGACAAGAGTTACAGCAAAGAGGATCAAATTATGTTACCCCAACAAGTCATGACATAAACCAGGTTGTGTTCCTGATGGGACAGAACACAAGAGAAAAAAAGACAATACTGACACTTCACACTGCAGTCGAGTGAAAACTGACGCTTTGGCTCCATCCTCTGACTGGAAGTTGTAACACCCTAACTATCTTATTGATTTCTTAGAGGAATGAGACCAAATGCCTCCACAAAATGTGTATTTAGAGAAGGGTGCTAATTTATTTACATGTGGCTAGGTGGCTGCAGCTTTCTCACCTGTTGACAATTCGATACACCCAAGAACAATGATAGGTTTGATATCATCAATTTCTTGTTCGATGGTGTTGTAGTGCTGGATTTCAGATTTGATCCGCATCAGAGACGGTTGGCTATCGATGAATTCCTTTGAAATGTCAAAATAATTATGATGTTAATCAGCAAGCATTGTATTGGCAGTCAAAACAGGACCACTTTTGGTGCCTTACCTTGACCTTGAGGTTTTTGTCCTGGTCCAAGATCACTTTGAAAGGACTGAATTGACTCAGAATTTCTTCTTCTCGTCCTTTCTGGGAGCAGAAGTCTGCACTCAGAGTGCGCAGTCTCTTTTTGATCTCCTTGTGTTCAACAACTTGGCGATAGAAATTTCCCTTTCCTTGACAAACAGAAAAAAACACATTTGATAGTTGTAGTCATATACATCAATAACCAATACTGCTAACACACTGAATTGAAAACAGCATGGCAGGGCAGTAGATCGTAAAATTCACTCAATTAGACTTGTGGATTACACACGAAAGAAGTCAATTATACCATAGGACCAATCTGCGAACTCATCAGCTATTGTTTGAAGGTGAGTAAGTCACAGAAAGTGATAGAGAGCTTTTATCAGGGCTTCTAGTGTTACCCGTGATGGATTTAAAGCCAAGACTTTTTTTTGTTTACTGTTGATAGTTTACAGGCTGTGTAGCAATGTAAGTTACACGAACTTTGCAGTGCTGAGACAAAATGATCAGAATTTTAATTGTAACTGCATGAAAATGTCTTTTTATTAGAGTTAAAGAAAACTCAATGCTGACAATGGCTTACCTTTGTTTCCACTGGAATCATGTGTGTATTCCCACTGCCAATCAATACCTTTGCTTACTTCCAGCACCGAGTCAATGAGCTGATCTATACTTTGTTGGATCTCACTGAGATTGGGAACCATAACCTGATAAAAAGCATATGTACGATAAACATTTTCTGTTTAGTTTGGCAAATGATTTAACTTTATCCTTATCCCCTTCAAGTGAATTAGCAAGAGCAAGATTGATTCGTTAATGACTTGTATGAACTCACCATGTTAGGTAAAACCAGCTGAACTTCAGATTTGATGAGTAAATCCACTTGACCACTTGATTCCCTGTTAATTGAAGTTGATTTAGTAGAAGTCTTATTTTTTTTTTAGTTACAAGACTATTTCTTACGTATTGACAAAGACATACTTACTTGTGACATATTCTCCATTTCAAAGTGTCAAGAGACAACGTGGTTGCTTTGACCAATGCATCTAATACTCTTGCAGAAAAGTTGTCATAAATCCCCTTGAACTCCTAAAATAAAGATTTTGAAGCATTTTTGTGGTCATTTTACAAATTTGACTTCTTTGTCTTTCTGTAGAATTTTTAAAGTTATTACCTCATCTTCGTTATCAGAAGTCTCCGGGTCCTCTTCTGAGAATCTCACTTCCCTCTGTCCTAAAAGTTCAGTTACAGAAATTGAAAAAACAAACAAACAAAAAAAAAAAAACACTCCTGTATTTTTTTTTACTTTGCTGTAAAACTTTATTTCTGTTATTTTGAACCTTGTGTAACATTTCAAATTGGGACTTGAGAGTACCTGGGTGTGGCTCCTTACCAGTTTTCTCATTAGTTTTGGATTCACCAATGGCATTGAACAGATTAGCCAGCTCCTTCACCGCATCTTTAACACGTCTACATTTGGCATCCAATGTCTTTGCATGTTCCTCACAGTGACGCTACAAAGAAAACATTGAATATAAGTGGACTGGTGGGCCAAAAAACATCCAAAGCAAAACAAAATTTTCTGGAGCTGTTTTTGGTATACAATGGTTAAATAACATATCATCATTATTCAAATATTGATCATTTTATTGAAGACTCATGACATGAAATAAGATTAATAATGTGGTAGCTCTGTTTTATTTTGAAAATTAACATGGTGATAAAAAAGTTGGGCACGAACAGCACTAACCTTGTTACAGTGGATCAGGTATTGAACCCAAGATGCACGATCCTCTGGGAGTTCAATGAGCACTGTCTCTGAGATGTCTTTGAGGACATCATCTATGTGGACTTTACAAATATCCTGCACCTAGAAAATGCATTGACATGACTTTAAAACAGAAATATTGCAAAACTATTTCAATTCAGTTAGTTTACTACGGTGATGTAATTAATGTAAAATCTGAAATAACAGTTTACGCTTTGCTTTTCATCAATACAATACCTTCTTAACAATATGTTGAAACTCAGATAAAGCAGTGTCAGCATCTTGAAAGAAGTTGTCCAGGTTGGATGACCAGGTGAGCAGCATTGACCCACGTTGAAGCACAGATTCCACCTGGCAATTGATAAGAGATTGTTGAAGACAAGAACCCAAACGTTTATATCTAAATACGTAAACATAAATATGCGTAATTATTTTTTTCCCCCAAAACTCAAATTTTCTTCTTTTACAACAAAGATCATTCTCTTAAAATACTTACATTTTTCATTTTTGATGCCATCAAGCTGTCAAGATTCTCAGGTATGCTTTCACAAGCTGATTCATATTGAGTCAAAATGGTCTGTAAAGACAACATGCAGTTATTGCGACAAATTCTGGTATTATCCATCTGTGAAATTTTAATTACCTACCTGTAGTCGGTTATGGATGGCATTCAAATGTGTTTCCAACTTAACCAATTGTAATGCCTGGTCTGGGACCTCAAAACCCATCTTCAACAAACACTTGGTCTCCCGAATAATCTCTCTTATTTTGGGAGAAAATTTGATCATGTACTTGCTCTCCTTTGGTTGTTGGACCAGTAGATTATAATTCAAGGCTGTTGCAAAGTAGAGTAAGAAAGTATACGAAATGAATGCTAAGGGAATACTGTAATGTAACCAAAGTTCACTGTGAGGCAAAGGGTATCAACATTAAAAGTTAGAGTCAGAGAACTAACCATAGCATTGTTGGGACACTTTACTCCTCCATTTTCTGTAGCAAACACGCTCATACTCGGTAAATGCAGCTGCAGCACTATCGAACATTTGCACCACATCTTTACCCTTAGGGCTGAGCAGGACGTCAGAGTTTTTCTGTTGATGGATCCAAGGTTAAAATAGTCTGTACAATGAGTATTTATTCAAATGTTCTGGAGGGTGAAATTGGGACTTACTTGTATGAGTTTGATGGGATCCTCTATTTTTTTGTAGAGGTGCCTGACCCAACCGATCCCTCCAGCAACGGGAGGCATATTTCTCGCTATGGGAGGGCAATTTTTCTGCTTGACAAAGAGCTACAAAAAAATTAAAATTAGCTGTATAGTTGATAACAATCTTTATTTATTTACCCTCTAGGTTTTTAGAGGAAATTACACTTTTTTTGAGCATGTGCTCTGGCAAGATGGGTTACCATTTTTGTAGAGAGTAAGGTGATGGCATAGGATTCAAGCATGAGGCCCACTGCCTTGTTAACTTCTGTGTCCAGACATGACAAGTTCAGCCTCTGGAAACTACAAATAAGATAATTCAGAATTCTAATTATAAAGTCAAATTGCTAACAATTCAAATGACTATAATACAATCTTTCAGTTGGTCTACTGTATCACACTGACCCCTGTATGAGGAACGCAGCATGATGAAATGAGGTGATGTTTGACAAGCTTGAGCTTGTGAATTCCTGTAGCTGGATCTGCAGACAAAGACAGTAACAATAACAAAATTAAACTTTTCTTAGAGGTGGAGAGGTGACAATGCAGGGTACCTACAATACAAACTGTAATCAGAAGTAACTTCTGCGTACCTCAATGTAGCTGATTTGAGACATGAACTTTGAAAAATCTGTTTCAAATTCAGCCAATCCCGGAGTCAAGATATCATACTGCTTCTGTTTCAGATTCATGGACACAGTGTGGAACAGTCTGCTCAGAACCTCTATGCCCTCAATGTTGGACTTTCCCAGAGATTCAAACTTCTTGAACACTTCTATTATTTGTATTATCTGTGACAAAAAGATTTTTTTTTTTAACCCTACAAGGCTTTATAGTATGAGTGACATAACGTAAGAGTTTAAAAAAAAAACAGCTGCACCTTCTCAAGTTGCTTGCAAAACATCTCAAAGTTACGAAAAATCTGGATCTCTGAAACCTTAAAGGATCTCTCTCCTAAATGTTGTGTTTTTTGCTCCTGTGTTTTCTGGAAGCTAGCCCGATACTCGAGATATAAGCTGATACAGTCCTGCCAAGGAGATGACAAGCAGATGTCAACTTATGTTACTTTCAAGCCTCTGCAATAACACCACAGATGTTCATTGAGGTAGGTGTCATCATCACCCGCATTTTCCTGACAACATCTTCAGTGTCTTGGTCCCATATCAGGCCATTTTCTGTAATGTATGATCTGCACACCATAACCATCTGGTTTGTAACCTGGAAACATATTCAGGAATGGAGTGACAAAACTCAAGGACAAAACTAAGAGCAAAGCTGTATTTTCTTCCACTAACTATAAAACTTACTTTGATGAGCAGCACAGATATTTTGTCACTTGTATTGAAGTAGAGTGACTGATTGTAAATCTGACGAATGCCGTTGATGATTTCCTGTACACTTCTCACCATGGCAACCTAAAATCACAATAAAATTATCTATAAATCTAAATTAACCACAACATAACCAAGTATAAGCAAACATTACTTCTCTAATGAAAACATATATTAAATATAGAAAAAACTTGCTCTATTGCACGATTCTGGAAACTTTTTCTTAGACATGATGAAGTAGCCATTAAATAATTGACTTTACATACTGGGTCACTGACATACAGAGGCTGACAGACTTTCTCCAGTCTGCTAAGGAACTGCACGTTGTCTTTCGCCTCATTAGAACGATCAGTTATCCTGCCATCCAGCTCCTGCCACATCTACATGCATAAGTTATATGGTTAGAAAGGCCCAGTTTGTATTCCTTATCCTTAAAACTTAGAGGCAGTGTTAAAATATATTTTTGAGTTCATTAAATGCACTTTAGTTTCTGTTCCAGGAACAAAAAAGATGTTTTCACCTATCAGAGAACTCAAATCACCTAAAGAAAATCTGCTGAAAAAGATTAAGGAAGTCAAAGTTAAAGCAAAACTTTTGAAAACTCAAATTAGATGTCTTTAGAGCTCAAAAATTACACGGTGAACTCCCTGCTAACGGGCAAAAGAGACACAGAATACCATGTGACTGTCACTCTTAATGAAATCTCACTATCTTCTGGCTGGCAGTACCTTTGAATGGGGTTTATATAGAAAAGAATGAAAGGTGTTCCTCATCAAATCGTAATAGCGTTGGGAGTTCAATAAAATTGTTGCCTTTACACAAATATATTTTTACTTGCACTGACATGAGTCTCACAGATTCATATATTCAATTGTTCAGTGATACTAGTCTTGAATTATACCTAATTCATGTATTTGACAAAGTTTAGTCCTCTAAAACACAACAGCCTATATTTGTCATTATGCAGGGTTTAACCATAATGAAATTGAAGAGGCTTCTCCGCAGGTGTGTTACAAGATAAATGTAAATATGTTTATCTTAAAATGACAAACAAGTTTAAGATGACAAACAAGCAATCACCCCTACAAACAATGCCATGAAATGTTACAGCTTCAATATCACAATAATTTCAATAAATAAATTCAATATTACAGAACAAATTTACAGAATTATAACATTGGAATGAGGCTCTAGTGTCCATACCTTGACAAGACTGGGGTCCCTTAGACAGAGCACCATTACCACTGCCTTACACTCCACCCCTTGGATGTGACTGATTATGGAGTTGAACTGGAGCGACATTTTTTTCCAGTATTCTAACTCAGTCAGTGGTCCTTCAGAAGCATCCACTTCCCTCACTGTATCACATTCTATCAGAACCTATTGATTACAGATACAGAGAGAGTCTATCCCATAAGTCTGACCACATTTAAGTGTTAATATCGCAAATGTTAAATTTTGGATGTTGCCAACCTGTTCGATTTGTTTTTGCAACTGCATCAGAATTTCTTCCAGTTTCTTGACTAAATCACTGTCAGCAGCTGCTTCTTTCATATCCTCCAAAGTGGACAGTTTAGAAAAGTCAATGTCTGTGACTGTTTTCAGACGAACAATACTCTCATTGCGCCTCTGGATATCTGGGAAACAAACAAAAAGGAATTAAAGATTAACTAAACTTTTGCAGGCAATCACACCATAATGATATGATTCTAAATAGGTATTGCATAATTCTTAGGCTTGTCCTGACAATGTTGTTTGGATTAACACAAAATGCTAACTACTAATGTAAGCCCCTTCAAACTTGAAACCTTAGAATAATTAAAATAGAGAAAAAATGGCTTACCAAGTAAGGAGTCAAGACAATGTTTTACAGTGTACTTGTAGTTCTTTATAAGTCTTTGTCCATATGTAGACTTATTTAAAGGACCCCAGTTTTGTACTTCAAGGGCTGGCAGCAAATAGTTGAAGGTATTCCTTATTCCCCTCAGAAGGCCATTTCTGGCATCTACCATTGAAAAGCAGATTTCCTGCAAAACATCATCAAAGTCATTCATCCATTCATGAATTCTATGGTAAAATCTAAGTATCTTTAAAAGTAATGAGATGCATGTTATTTCAATGACAGAATTCTCACACAATACACTGTGTTTAGAATTCTAAAACACAATACATCAGCCAAAAGAACAGGTTCTGATTAAAACCAATGAACAAATTAGGAACAAAATAACCAAGAACACATATACAGTAGTAGACTAACCTCATGAATGTTTTCTAAATTCACAGGCTTGTCCACTCTAGCTCTAGTGAAAGAGCAGCAAACACCAGTGAGGCGTGTTTGGTGCAAATTGGCTACAAACAGCCTCAAAATGTTTTCCCCTTTAGTAGCTCCAGGAAATAAGCGTCCACACTCTGCAATCAACATTTATTTCAACAGAGGAAAAATGGCATTCAGTCTGTGCATTCCTTCACTCCTAAAGTTAGGAAATTCACCATTTACACCATTTATTAAAAAAAAATTTAATCCCAGATTATATAAATAATGGCTCTAAAACTTTACTGAAATGGAATTCAATCATAAAATCACGTCATCTCTTTAATGCAGCTGTATATCTTGTAAGTATGTTATTTTAGATCTTCTTTGTCTCAGTTAAAATGACTACAATTTAAAAGTTTTTATATTTCCCAGATGTTTTTTTTTTAATATCTGAGGTGAGACAGTCAAAAGGAGAATCTTTCATGATTTATGCTTACCTATTCCTGGGACTGTAGACTCTTGATACACAAATGAAATGGTTGTACAACCATCTTTGGCAAAGAATTCATCAAAAGCAGCCAGCTGTTTCTCGAGAAAACCATGATAGCAAGTAAAAACTTTGAAAGTTGTAACACAAGCATGCAAGACGTTCAATCCCCCAAAATAAGGGGCCATCTTATGAACATCAGAACATGTCCTCAGAATCAATAAGAAGAGCATGAGGACAAAGTTTATCACAGTGAGTCATAAATAAACACTTGAAAGGCATGTACACTCAAATCACTCTGTGAGGCTGGAAATTTAAACCTCTTCATCTCTCACTATGAATTCCTCCAAACCTGCAGTACAAATGAAATTTCAGGAAATGTGCTTATTGATTTAATGATTTTTTTTTCTCTGAGTTTATTATGAGAAGGTACAACTCCCTGTTCTTTGCCACATGTTACTTACTCCTTCCTCCTCTTACTCCTTGTTCTCAGACCTTATGATAGTCAAAAGTCTTAAGTTCCTGTAATAATGTTACTAATCTGAAAATTCTGTTATCATCAACATCAGTCATTTTTCACCAGAAGCTAAAAAAACTTGGATCAACTCACAGATGGGGAATCTAGGATAAATTCTTCTACTGTTGATGGCTCCAAGTACAATCTGTCTGCCAGGATATCAATCATGTACTTGTGTGCGGAGGTGAGAAGCTTCTTTCGCTCTTCTCTTCCCTGTTTGTACTTTGCCTGAGGAAAATTTGTTTTGTAAATAGTGGTTACCATACTGCTACACATAGACACACACTGTAACATAAACCACTTGAAAGAATAGGCTTGTTTGGTCTGTAACCCAACTTTAAAGAGTGTTAAATTTACTAACCTTGCATCCATGCTTGTTTGCCTTTTGCTCGTGTGTATCCATATTTAGGTGCTGCACAGGCAAAACCACCTCCTTGCCGTTGGAAAAAAAACCGTTTTCTTCTGTAATGAAAAAACATAAAATAAAATAAGCCACTTTCCAAAGCTCAAGTCTCATTTATTAACCAAAAGTAGTAACTGGACCTAACTGCCAGAAAAAGAAGACTTTTGAGGTGAATACCCCATGAATAAGACCCGATCTTCAGGGTCACGGTACGTTATGCACCGTTCGCTCACAGGTGTAACTGAATGGCTAGTCAAGCTAGCACACTAGCGCAATTTCGTCGTTGGTTGGCTGCTAACTAGTTAATATCTCAGCAGTTGTTCACTTGACATAACTGAATACAACTTACCCTTACCAGTTGTCGGTCACTCGATAATATCGACGCCTAATGTCCATATTTTCTGTTTCAGCGGTTTCTGTTTTCTGGTGTAACTGAAAGGCTAGTCAAGCTAACTTAAGTGCAATTTCGTCGTCGTGAGGCTGCTAACTAGTAGCTAATATCTCAGCAGTTGTTCACTTGACATAACTAAATATAACTTACCCTTAGAAGTTGTCAGCCACTCGATGATATTGACGCCTGGTGTCCATAATTTCTGTTTCTGTGGTTCCTGTTTTCTTGGAAAATTCTCCTTCACTTTTGCTTTCTGACACTTGTGTTACCGGCCAAAATCTTCCGATAAACGTTCCCAACTGTAACCGTTGACAACTGTTCGTAACTGTCACACGCTTAAGCCGTTATCACTAAATGTTTAAACGGTTGTGTGATTTTAGGAATTCATGTCAACGTCCTCAGCTCATTTTGCTGCCAGTACGGGGATTTTTACGCATTTTATTGTGGCTGGTCTCATATTAAATGATTAATTCTTTATGTTTGTCGTCTAATTGTAGCCATACTGGTTTGATAAACTGGGAAAAATCTAACTTTTACTTGCGTTTAGCACAGGTTCAAACTTTCATACTAATTAGCAAACCCACTAAGTTGTAGGCCGAGTGACGTGGCCATGGTCGCTAACATACTAGTCGGCTTCCGTTGACTCCGATAAAGCTTAAGGGTGGTGCTTGATATCTTTAAACATGATGTCAAGTATTTTTTTCTGCCATGAACATGATTTACTATCATAAGTGTAACTCAGGTAAAAGTTAGTGGACACTGTAATATTTGAATTTGAAGACTTGACCCGCATTTGTAGTGCCTGAATGACAATCTACCTGAAAAACTGCCATAGGGGAGAGCGGGGTAAGATGAGACATTTTTCATATTTCGGATCACTACATCAAGGCAATCATAGTTTTGTCCGTAACTAGCGTATCTGCATGTATTTCAAGATGTTGTGCATCTGGCAGTCTGGAGGAAGACTGGGACTTCCTGTCCCCTAAGAAAATCAAGGATCCTGAAGCCAAGAAGCCAGAGGACTGGGATGATCGTGCAAAGATTGACGAATGTAAGCATGTTTTACACTTTTGGACATTATTTCAAAATTGGTTGTTTATCTAAACAAATCATTTTGCCCCCATTAAACTCGATGTCAATCAAGATTGGACTACAGTTGAAGGAAAAGAACTTGGACTTCATGGTGAACATTTTAATTACACTTGGAATTCACAGATTTTAGTACCTCAAGATGAAACCCCACTTCAATGGATGGATAAACGAACTTAGAATAAACAAAAAATTTTTGAACTACATGAAAAACAAAAACGCCCTAAAACTGTTTTCTTTACTCGGACAAGGGGAGACCAATCCTTCCAGGCTGTTATCCCCAGGCTTTGGAATGATCTTCCTCTCTCAATGCGTTAATTGACTCTGTTGACTCCTTTAAATGCCAATTCAAAACTTATTTGCTCAGGCTTTTGTTTAACTGTTTGGGGCTGCTATGACTGTTTAATGTTGTTGTCTTGGCCTTTTAATTTGTATGTATATTTGTGCACTTTGTGACTTTTTTTGTCTGTGAAAAGTGCTATACAAAAAAAGTTCACTTACTTACTCAACTTATTTACTATCCTAGAATAAGACCCTCACATTCTCTTCTTTTTTCATGTTCTTTTGTTAATCTAAAAAGCTGGTTCAACACTTTATACTGTAGGTATCACCAATGTTTGTATTTTGACGAATAAGAAAACGTTTACATGAAAAAAAAAAACCTTTAAAAAGCTGTTCAAAAATTTTTGATAACCATGACACAAATTGACCAAAGGCAAAAACACTGAAACAAATAGGTGTTTCAATTCAAGCCCTTTAAAGGGACGAAAGAGCCTACACTTAATGCTAAGCTGATCCAAATGATTCTGATCATGGGCTGTATATAGAGTATATTAGAGTATATATAATAGAGTATATAGAGTATAAACTGCATATAGTATATACAGTCTATGGTTCTGATCATGAAGAGGAGCAGGGATTGTCATCTCTTATCACTCATCTGTTCCTCTTGTTTACTTCCTGCATCGGACATCTGGCGCCCTCTACAGGAACATTGATAGAACCACGTGTCAAAGGGATTTTTTCCTCACTGATCCTGGATCAGGCTTTGTAACGAGCATATGTTTCGTGGTCTACTGTCATTGGTCCAGACACACCATCTCGCTGTCCAATGGCAGGCAGACATCTGTTCGCTCGGGCGACTCTAAAATATTCCCTTCTCTTCCTTCTCCATCAAGAACTCACTTAGCCGGGACGTCGTTAGTGGTGTAAACCTCCGGGAAAATGCGAGTCTTTGGTGTTGTTGCGGTAATTTTGGCAGTATGCAGTGTGCATGCAAAGGTATACTTTCGGGAGGAGTTTACGGACGGTGGTAAGTTTCTTTTGAAAGTATTTATACAACACCTGAAACTGCAGGCGGTTAATTCATTACATGTTAGCTTGACTGTAACAGCCAGTTTCTCTTGCAAGCGTGTTCTCATTACTCTTAAATCTGATTTTTATTCCCCGATTCAATGAGAAAACGACACCTTTTTCGGTTTTTAAAAACTTTATATGTTTGTTAGCTGGCTAACTTTAGCAAGGGCCTAATGTTGGCAAACGTGATATACTTCTACCACTGAGAGCTAAGTTGCCAAATGTGGTCGAAATTGCAGTAGAGATGTACATTTAATCGATTCGAGAGTTTCAAAGAATATCACCACTGTGTAGATGTTTGGGCATAACGTTAGGATTATAAGGAAGTGCTAAAAAAAAGAGGTCCCCAAGGGTTCCACCCCGTCTATCCTAACAGTACTGTTTTAATGTCTGTCCAGATGAATGGAGAAGTCGCTGGATGAACTCTAAACACAAATCAGACTATGGAGAGTGGAAACTGACGGCCGGCAACTTCTACGGAGATGCTGAGAAAGACAAAGGTAAATGCTCTGCCTACTAATCCACTTAATTTAAAACAACAACCACGTGATTCCCTCCTCAAAGTCATAGACTTTTGTTTATACAATGTGTGTGTGATGTGGATATTGACAAAATAAACTAATGGTGAAAGAGGTTAAATGTTATTGAAAACCACAACACTTAGGTGCATCTTTACCCTACAACAAAAAGATCTTAAACAACCCTTTTAACCCTTAAAATACAGGTAATACCCTTATGTTGTGTCCCCTTATTCAGCATTATATTGTGAACACTTTTTAGAATAATGTACTCCAGTCCACAACCATCACTTGCTCCATCTTCAGCAATCAAGGAACAGTTTTTGCCTGTCTGGTCATGTCAACAGAAACCAAAACTGTAGATGCTTCCTGAAAGTAGATTATATGCTCAAATTATTGTACCGGGTCGCAGAAGATTGCCCAGGTGTTTATAATGTTAAAGCTGATAGGCATATATTCTAATGAGCCTTTGTCTTTACTTGGTAGTACAGTTTCTACATTCTGTTTTATTGTTTGTCTTTTTTTTTTTTTCATTTTTTTTTTTTCAGGTCTGCAAACAAGCCAGGATGCCCGTTTCTATGCCATCTCTGCCGGTTTTGATTCTTTCAGCAATGAGGGCAAGCCTTTGGTCATTCAGTTTACAGTCAAGCATGAGCAAAAGATTGACTGTGGGGGTGGCTATGTGAAAGTTTTCCCCAAGGACTTGGTCCAGACTGAAATGCACGGAGAATCTTCATACTACATCATGTTTGGTAAGTGATAATTCATCATAATTGGATATTTTTTGGGGGGAAAGCGCAGTGGTTTTTATTGCAACATTTACTAATAAAACTTATTCTGCCCTAGGCCCTGATATCTGTGGTTACAGCACAAAGAAAGTGCATGTCATCTTCAACTACAAGGGCAAGAACCACCTGATCAAGAAAGAGATTAAGTGCAAGGTAGTTCCACTACAAAAAAGGCATCTTTTCAAAAGTGTACTAATAAGTACTGGCTTTGTTTAATCCAAAGGCTGGTGTTTCTTTCAGGATGATGAGCTGACCCATCTGTACACACTTATCCTGAATCCGGATCAGACCTATGAGGTTAAGATTGATAACGAGAAGGTAGAATCTGGCAGTCTGGAGGAGGACTGGGACTTCCTGCCCCCTAAGAAAATCAAGGACCCTGAAGCCAAGAAGCCAGAGGACTGGGATGATCGTGCAAAGATTGACGATGCTGATGACACAAAGCCTGAGGTGAAAAATAACATAAAACAGTTTTATTCAGCATGAATCTACTTTTATTATGCTCAAGATGTTGTTTTTAGAGGAAATGCTGGAAGAGGAAGATTTTCCCATTCATTTTTCTGGAAGACTTTATGTAGTCCCAGTCTTTCAAGAACCGGATTTACATGTTCAGTGCTGTTGTTTTATTTTAAGCTCCATGTTTGTATTACTCGCTGCTCCTTTAGGACTGGGACAAACCTGAAAATATTCCAGATCCAGATGCCAAAAAGCCAGAGGACTGGGATGAGGACATGGATGGAGAGTGGGAGCCACCCATGATCCCCAACCCAGAGTACAAGGTATGCCAAAGCTGTGTCTTCATAGGTAGAGCTTGTGCTTTTTCTGAACCCCACTCTGCTTGAAGAATACTTAATATTTATGTTTTCTCTATTAAAGGGAGAATGGAAACCCAAACAGATTGATAACCCCAACTACAAAGGATCCTGGGTGCATCCTGAGATCGACAACCCTGAATACAGCCCTGATTCAAACATCTACAAGTTTGACAACATAGGTGTTTTGGGTCTGGATCTTTGGCAGGTGAGAGAGGGAGAGATGGATTATCTGTCAGAAGTGAAGTTATTTCTTTAGTGAATTTATAAATTCAATCTAACTTTTGTTATTGTTTGTCTCAGGTGAAGTCTGGGACCATCTTTGACAACTTCCTGATCTCAGACGATGTGAAGGAGGCTGAAGATGTTGGAAAGGAGACATGGGGTGTTACAAAGGTATGCTGGGGCTGCTGTTTTTTTGAAGCCATGCTGTCATTTTTACAACACATGAATCCATTACCAGTGAAATCCAGATCAAGTAAAGAGACATTGTTTGTAGTAACTGTAATCTCCCTCTGCAGGAACCAGAAAAGAAGATGAAACAAGAGCAAGATGACCAGAAACGAAAAGAGGAGGAGGAGAAGAACAAAGAGCAAGACACTGAAGCTGATGATGATGACGGTGATGAGATTGATGATGATGATGATCTGAGTGAGGAAGACACAAAGGACGAAATGGAAGAGGCACTTTCAGAAATGGATGAGGAAGACGCAAAGCTTAAAGATGAGCTTTGAGGACATGTGGTCAAAGATTTGTGTGTCCCTCCTTTAGAAACTCTGTCCTGTATTTCCCAGGGGGTATTTTGGCTGCTGTGCATCCTTTCCCTGAGATATGGACACAACCCAACTTAGGGTACAAATGTAGTGAAGTGGAGGTTAATGGACTCAGTTTCTCTTTCATTTTGGTTATATTTTTCAGTTTCCCCTGAGCTGCTTAGTTGATTGTGTTTTCACCCATAAAGTCCATTCCTCATTTGAAATATCAGTTTAAGAGGGCTCTGATTGCCACTTTTTTCTTGATTTGCACATCCTGGTCTCAGATTTTCTCTCACCGGTGGCATAATTTTACCTAAAGTTGGTATACATGGGTGATAAATGTTTGATTTAGGCTTTGAAATTTCTCCACTGGAAAGAAAAAAATCATTTAAGCCTGGTAAAGCAGAAAACATTCACACCTAAACCTACTAAATGCAAAACAATCATGAAATACAGACAAATCAACAGTGTAATGTAACTTATTTTTGTTATGTCTGTGGCACTGACTTTCTGTTTCCCTCTCAAACTCTTTAAGGGCATAATTGACGTTTTTCAACATAAACATGAGATTGGTTTTCTACATTAAACGGCATGAATGAAAGTATGTCTTGGTAATGTGATGGAACTTGCTTTGTGTCCTGAAAGTCTTGAGAAACAGACGGGAATCCTTGGAGTGACTCATGACATCACCAAGGGATCACTTTTATTGGACAGAATGTTAATGATACCAAAGTTTTTATTAAAAAGATTATAACCATCTTGCCTTCTCCTAGTCTTAAATGCATGTGCAAATCTTGAAGTGAAGTGTGTTTGTTAGGTAGGAACACAACATTGGCACCTACTACATGACCTTGTATAAATCTAGTTTTCACCACATATACAAAAGCAGTTTTGTTGTGGCTATAAAGATTTGTGTAGGGTTGAAAAGAAAAATGTGATTAAGTTTACTGACTGAAAAAAAAAACATTTAAGTGCAAATTAACTTCAAATGGGAGAGTTGTATTTTTACAGACAGCAAAGTCAAAATAAAGGATTCATCAATCTTGATCTCCAGAAGGTAGCCAGTATTTGCATGTTATTTGAATACCACCAGTGTTCAAACAAAATACAACCAAACTCCAACATTGGAATTTAACTTGATAAATAGCAAATTATTTGCAAGTGCTTCTTAATGAATTAGAATACTCTGGGGAAAAAAGGATATTTGAAAGTTATACGTTTGTGCTTTTCTCTGATTGCTGTTTAAACAGTTTCAAAAAATGTAAAAATATATCTCAGATTTGAATTTTTTAATCATTATTCAAACAGAATAAATACCTTATTCCTCCACATTTGTATTTAACCCTAGAACACTATTGAAGTGTGATTTTCACCCCAACCAAGCATGTTTACGTGATTTTCATTATGTTGTGTTTGTCTGAGTATCATGGGTCCTTGGTTAGCTTCAGCATTGCCTTCGACATCTTTGAAGGCACATTTGTTTCCCTGATCCAAAACCTGCTTTTTCCTAAAGGCACGTGTTCAGATGATTTTCACCCGGCAATAGAGATAGATGGTAAAGTAGGTTTGGGTGGATTTGATAGCTGCATGTAGGGAATAAGGTAAGTAAGAGTGGTCCTAGAATTAGCATGCTATCTTTATTTAGCACAGTGGATATGAATAACTATCTCAAAGTAGTGATATTCAAGGTGAATTCATATGGTGATAAGAAATATTTGAGTCAGCTGGTCATTTTTCCTCACTCAAAAAATGCCATATTTTTGGTTCTCTGTCCTGCAGCTGTTACTGTGCCAAAGACCCTAAGTCTTCACCAGGGAAGACTCACGCCCCAGGAATGGGTGAAAAAGAAACTAACTTTTTTCCTTTCCTTTGGACATTGCACACTTAAAAATAAAAGAAAACAAACCAATGCTACCGAAAACATAACCTCCTTGGCGGCGGTAACTACTATAATTTGTCATGTATTGTCCTATTTTGATATATTTTGATGACAAGTACTTTTTGTTGGGTATATTATTTCGGGTAAAAATCACCCGGCGATAGTGATGGTGATAATTATTTTAGTGATAGTGTTCTAGGGTTAATCAAGTTCCAACTCAGTGCAGCTGTTTACCAGGAGATTTGAGAGCACTTCATGTTCCCATCTGCTGACAAGCTTAATGCAGATGCTGATTCCCTTTCACAGCACGACTTGGCACTTGCCCACAGCGCCAAAACTCCTACCATATGTTCGCTGAGCATGATGTTACTGTGCTTGATTGACTTGACCTGAAGCATGCAGATAATCTGAAGGGGTATTTATCAGGAGGAAGATGAGAAACACCATGGTCACAACATGGTGTACAGTACACAGGATTAGGTGGATTAGACCACCTGTGCTTAGTTATTTCCTATGTTCTCCTCCACAAGGGGTGAGACTACGACTTATCCAAACAATGCTAAGGGCTTAACTATGATTTCCCCATCACAAATATAAATATGCAAATATGCAAAAAAAAAAAAGAAGAAAAAAGAAACCAAAGCTCACTGCAAATAAAAAAAAGGAAAGGTGCAGATAAAAAAGCCACAACGGAAGATAATGACGCAAAAAAAGTTACTTACTGCAAAAATTTGCATCACTTACTTCAGTTGTGGTTTCTTTTATTTTTTGCATTTTTTTTTTATTTGCAGCAGTAGCATTTTTTTTTTTTTGCATTATTTTTTTGCAGCAGCAGTGGCGGTTCTCGGCCACCGTATCAATGTGTCTGCATCATGGTTTGCCATTATGCAACTCCACTAATTCCAGTGAGTTTAAAGAACTGGGATCCACCTTCCGTCCGATCCGTCGCCACTCGTGCCCGCACGGTTAAGGGGTGTGCGCGCGCTCCCGAGTCACCAGGAAATATGGCGGCGCTCATGACTCTCAGTCAGGTAACAACTCTCTACCTCTAATAAAGTCCCTCGTTTGGATTATTAGTACATTCAAGTGACAGAGAAAGTGGTTTTATTTTCTAGCATTATCCCAGTTCCGTGAGTTTTAGCGAATATCGGTCTTTGGGATCGTATTAGCATCATTTCGGTGTCAGCAAAGTTAACATGTTAGCTAGGTTAAGTAAGGATAGCAAAGTTTGTGTGAGCGTTTTAGTTCAGGGGGAGATTTAATGCGACGAAGTGAGTCAATTTGATTCGGCTGGTGAAGGTAAACATGGCAATAACGCGGTTAATATTGAAGTAGGTACAAAAACAAACCTTTTGACGGCAGATTTAAGCTGTAAATGTTTAGCGGGTCGTATCGCGTATGAAGAAACTCAGATGTGTAAAGCCGACTGTAAAGCTCTTTCTAGTTTTCTGAAAACCTGATTTTGCCAATATATAAGCTGAAAAACTTATTTGTAACTCGGTCGGTCACATATTTGTTCCCTGTATGTGCAGTTATCAAGTGGAAACCCAGCCTATGACAACTACTACAGACAGGTAAGATCCAAGTTAAGGTGTGTTTATTCTCTCTGCCTTTACAGCGACTCATTCAACAGAGATTAACTTGTGTTAAATACAATCTATGACTCAAACAGTCTGCTTTATTCACTCAGTGTTATGTTTCTTAACCTTTGTAGCTAGATCCGACAAACACTGGGAAAATAACAGCTGTCGATGCAGCTCAGTTTCTCAAAACGTCAGGGCTGTCAGACAGTACCTTAGGAAAGGTGGGTCATAATCCTACTCATGTCAACATAACACACATACACACCCCTGTATTTACTGTACAAACCCCTTTTCTTCTGCTTTTTCAGATTTGGGATTTGGCCGATTCAGAAAGAAAAGGCTATTTGGATAAAAGGGTAACATAACCTCTCCTTTGAATTTTCTAGACTGCTGATGTGTGCAGAAAACACCACATCGCCCTCACTTTGTTCCTCTTTCCTAGGGTTTCTTCATCGCTCTGAGACTGGTGGCGTCAGCACAAAGTGGAAATGATATCAGCCTCCACAACCTCAACCAAAACTTAGCTGCACCCAAATTTGTAAGTGATGAAGTAATGCGTCTGACAAGTGCAAATATCCTAAGATGCGATAAGGATAACTGTATATTTAAAATTGAAAAAGCTAAATGCAAATATTGCCTTTTTTAATTATGTTTATGTTTACTTATTTTTAAGTGTCTTATTGTAATTTTTTTTACAGAGAGACTCTAACAGCCCATTATTAAGTGTTTCAACTACAGGACCTGATTCTCAGTGGGCAGTCAGGGTGAGTCAATACCAATTTTAAGATTTTTTAAAAATTGTTTTTGCAGATTTTCAAAATTTCAGCTTGTCATTAAAACTTAAGTTTCCTCTCTCCAACAGGCTGATGAAAAAGGGAAGTTTGAGGGCATTTTTGAGAGCCTATCTCCTGTAAATGGTCTCCTCTCAGGTGATAAAGTCAGGCCAGTTTTAATCAACTCCAAACTACCTCTGGATATACTGGGAAAGGTGATATATTATGTTAGATTTACACAGCATAGTTCAAAGTGATTAAGACATGCTCATTAGGAATGACCTTTTTTTCCTAGATTTGGGATCTTAGTGATGTGGATAAAGATGGACAGCTGGACAAAGATGAATTCACAGTGGTAAGCTTGTTTCTGCTGTTGCTGTGAAAAGCAACAAAACTAACAGATAATGTTATTCACTATTATATGATTTGATGTCCCATATTTTAGGCAATGCATCTTGTGTATCGTGCCATGGAGAAGGAGCCTGTCCCTGCCACCTTACCCACATCTCTCATTCCCCCATCTAAAAGGAAAAAGACAGCAGGTACACTACCAGGTGCTGTGGCTGTGCTCCCTGCTCTGTCTGGGCTTTCTGGTGGCCCGATTCCTCTCAAAGATACCCTGCGAAGCACTCCTCCTCTGGGTGGCACAGCCCTCCTAAGCAACAGTACTGTCAACCTCTCTCCAAAACACTCCTTCAAATCCAGCACTCCGGTACGTTGATTTACTTCTCTTTCTGTTTCACAGGCCACATCTTGGTCGTGGTTAGACTAATTGTAACCTACTAAGAAAGACCTTTGTGAAATAGATCTTCCTTGGCCAACGTTGTTTGCCCATGGAGATGTTTCTACATTTTCAGATATGCATCCATGTAAAAACACAGTCCATAAAATGCCTTGGATCATTAAGAGCCTGTGTACTGGCATAGCTCATCTTGCAGATTTTGCTTTGACTTCCTGTTTTATGAAACTCTCAGCACTGCTCAGCTGGCAGAGCATTACAGCTGAACAAACAAAACCCGGCACAAGAAGTTACTGGTTCAGAAAGTGTTCTGAGTCGATGTCATCATATTATTGATTCAATATTAGAGCAAAATAAACACAAATCGAAAAGGTTATGTATGTTCCAGCTGTGAGATTCACTGTATTGGCTTTTACATGCATAATTAGAGACTTGTCTGTTTTAAATAGTTTTAAAACCCTCAAAATCAGTTTTACTCTTAACCAAAACATGATATGAAAATATTTAAATGTGATGAAAGTTGATGGATAATATATATGTATCAGTTAGGATCCAAATAAACTCCTGGGAAAATATTCTACACCACTTTTACCATCATCTGTTTGATTGATGAGTCTTGTTTTTGTCCAGAGGAGAGGAAAAAACCTAACGGGATGTTTAGCACATTATCTTTCAGTACTAGTTTCACACAGCTGCCAAAAAAGTGAATTCTTCCTTTAAGTGCATCGTCTTATCGATGAGGGTGATCGTGGGTTTTATGAAATGTACACTACCCAAATGTGGCTCCTTGTTGTAGAGTATAATGATGTGAAAAACAACAATCTAGAGGGAAAAATCCATACATTTCGTTTTCCCTCACTCTTCCCTCAGAAAAGGTGCCCAGCCTTTGAAGAAACCCGCATTACATGTATTGATTCTTCCTCTTCTCTGATGGGTGGACTTGTTTTTCCACATTGTTTTGAGCCTCGTGCACAGCCCGGTTTGTTTCTCTCTACCTCGTTGTACCTGCAGGGATTTTTCATCTGTGACTTTTAGAGGAACAGGTTTCCTTGAACGGGAAGGGGAGCAAGACTGTTCATACTTGTACCACGATCCCCTGTAGGGCTGTCAAACCATTTTTGTGTTGTTCCCTATTTTTTTAATAAATGCCAATTCTCACCCCTCTAATTCTTCCACTTCTCCAAATTCACTTTTTTTTTTGTTAATTATCTGTTCAGACGATGAAATTTTCTTGCCTGTGTGCTATTTTTTTTTCATGTTTTTGATATTACTCACTAGTCAGGACATATTTTTCTCATAAGTCACCAATTCCAGGCTGTTTGTATTTGAAACAGTGCGTTATATAATTCCACCACTACCCTTTGCATTTGAGGTTTAACCTGCAGCTGTTTTCCCTTTCCAAAACCACATGAATGTTTCCTTTTGTTTGTTGTAGCCTGCTGTGAACTGGGTGGTACCAGTTGCTGACAGGGACAGATATGATGAGATCTTCAAGAAAACAGACGCTGATAGTGACGGCCTTGTGACTGGAACCGAGGTTATTGAGATCTTCATGCTGTCCACGCTCTCGCAAACCATGCTGGCTCAAATATGGTGAGACTTCTGTGCTATCACAACACACTTCTCATATGAATATTACCTTGGTCGAATAAGCTGCATCACACCGGGAAACAACCCAAACAAACATGAACCGATCTATATCACACAATCTGGTTTTGTATTTTCAAAACAATCCCTTGCAGGAGTAGTGTTATTGAAGCTTTTGTCTTTAGCTGATAGCCAGAGTAGAGCTGAATCATATAACCCGACATGGTCATAGATAGTTTCACTACCTTAAACTCTGGCTCCATCTAGTGAGTCAGAAAATGATGGCAATGTGTGCCATACTGAGGCAATGGGGACTGGTCTGCAGAGAAAATCCACCATTCTTAATTCAGGGTTCCTACTCAGTTGGAATTTTCATACTTTTCCATACCGTACTTTTTAGACTTATTTTTTGGAAATCCCTATTTTTCTATTAGAGAGTATTCAGTATTTTATAACTGTGTCAATATAGTCTGATTACATAAATATTTTTCCATACTTTATTTTTCATTTACCATACTTTTTAAGACCTGGAAATTGATCAAATCACCTCCATACTTTCCATACTTGCATAGGAACCCTGTTAATTATTGCTGCCACATGTTTTGTTTTGCTTTTCAAAGCCATACAATACCTTGATGATGATGAATCTCTCCCTCTTCTTCAGGGGACTTGCTGACACCAAACAAACAGGCAAGCTGAACCGGGAGCAGTTCTCTCTAGCCATGTATCTGATCCAGCAGAAGGCAACCAAAGGCATCGACCCTCCCTCTAGTCTAACGCCTGACATGATTCCCCCATCAGAAAGGACTACAGCTTCAGCAGCCGTTCCTGTGAGTTCTAACTTAACGCTTCTGTGACATCTGTTTCAACGGGCTAAAGCTCTTATTCCTGGAATTCTTCCTATGCTGGTTTTTCACTTGCAATTGTTCTCAATTTGAAATCAAAGAGCCTGATTTCCTCCTGCTGCCGTATGAAATTGAAATGGTGAGATTTGCTCTGTGACTCTTCCCCTCTTGCTCTGCAGAAACTGTCGTATGCTTTGGCTTTTTTGAGCTTTCTCTCCTCCTTTCCAAGCAGAACTTTGTGGGGTTTATGCCAGCTGTGAGACCTGAGCTTGCCTCTCTTGCTAATGCACGCAGAGTGAGTATTTGCTTTCTATGCCACAAGGTGGCGCTGTTGTTCTGTCATAGTCCTTTGTCTCTATCTAAAGCTTTGCATGAATGTGTGAAAAGAAACATTATCATTGTGTTATTTGTCAGTTTCATCATTTATCTTCTTCAGAAACAGAACAGGGAATTTTTTAGATTATCTGTTTCTGTTCTGCTGCATTTTTTTTTTGTTCAGAAAATTTTGATTTTGATTGAACTGCCTGTTCAAAACTTTGATAGTGTCAAAGGTAAATACTGCCATCTGCTGTTTCATCAATGCACTGACACAAAAGTCTCTCTCAAGCTCAGAGTATTTATATCAGATTTTGATATTGGAGTCAAACTTTTTATGATAAACATTCAAAACAAGCCAAAATGTCACATTAAAAAATACAGTCTGAAACAGTGGTGAATCTAATTATGATTGTAGTAAATGCAACATGATGTGTAAACTCTTGCCCAGTTAAAAAGGTTTTGGTTAATTTTTCTAACCTACAACAGTCTAGCCACCCTTACAAATGATCTCATGTCCCCTGTTGGTCTCTGGACCCCAAGGTTGAGAACCACTGACATAGAAAGTCAGATCTTTATTCCCAAACCTCTCTGCTCCAGTGGCTGCCTGTCTAGGACCAACATATTCCCAGAATGGGGACCAGCTATCTGAGAATACTTTAAATGTTGACTTGTGTGTCTGATATTTCATAAGTATTATAGTGATTTTCTTTCCCTCGCAGAGAATGTGATGACACACAGAAGTCTTTAGCAAAGGGCACTTTTTTAGTCATGTTTCTGCCAACTCAGTCAAAAGACACAAAGGCTCCTTGTCCAGTTTAATGATAGTGATGTGGTGTAATCAATTGAATTTGGTTTTCCAGTAGTCAGCTATGTATTAACGAATCCTTTCATCCTGTTAATAAGTGAAATGTTATCTGTAGACTTCCACGCATGTAAGCAGGTCGTTTTCCAATTAGCAGGCATGAATTTAGGTTTACCCTTATCATACGCAGGAAGTGCTCAGATTAGATGTATGTGAAACACTTAGTTGTTCACAAAGGTCAGATATTAAGTTGTTAGAACCTCATGTATAAGGCATACAGCAGTCAAAGAAGCCTCTTAACTTTTTAGGGAATATAAGATATGTTGTTAACAAGCCAAAGATGTATCGGGCATTTGTAGAGGCAGGTTTCGGGAATTTCAAAATCCTTTATTGATCCAAGTTTTAAAGAGTACAAGTTTTTTAAAGAGTACAACATAAAACATGATAGGTAATAATGAAACAGTGCAGGGAGAGGCAAAAAAGCCACAATGGGCTTATTTGAAGCCTCCACCTTTTATAATAGCCCAATATTAATATTACATTTTAATGTACAAAAGCACAAGATAGCATGAAAAAATTCATAAAAGTAATAGTGACTGACATCAATAATATAGAAAACAAAAAACAAAATTCAGCACAACCCTTAAAATCAAGGTGCAGCTTTTCTTTCTGTATAAGAAGGCAAAGTGTACTAAAAATCAAAGGCACAGTTAAGTTACTTTAGGTTATCTTGGACAACAAAGTTTTTTTGTGTGTGTGAATGCGCAGAGTTAAGTCATGGATAAGTAACTCAATTAAGTAACAGCTTTTAAGAACTCACACACTTTTGTAACTCTTACAAAAGCGCCATAGTTAGAAACACATTTCGTAGCTCTCTGTCATAATTCTCTTGTAAAGGTTGAACAAGAAACCTTATATCTTTTTTCCCCTTCAATCTTTTCAAGGTTGCATATCTTTGCACGGTTCTTTTAGTGACTGTAAAGATGAGGATTATAAGATACCATGTTTATTTTAGCTCAATAAAGCAGTTTTTCAGTCATACTTTTCTGTGTTTGCGAGAGGTGAGAGGTGTTTGCGTCCCCTTCCTGTGTCTTTTGTGTTGCTGGACGTGTCAGCAGGAGCTCCTCTTGTACCGTCCAAGTCTCCTCTGCCCTCATGCTTTCCCATTTTTTACTCCTCTCTCCACATTCCCCATCCTGCCTGCCTTTCCCACTGTTGTTGTCTCTATCCTCAAGTTACTTGATTCATCATGTATTTTCTTACCCCGCTCCTCTCCTCTCTCCCCCCTCTCTGTCTCTCGCCTCAGGACAGCACCAGCTCGACGGGGTCGGCAGAGCTGACAGGCATCAAAGAGCTCGATGACCTCAGCCAGGAAATAGCTCAGCTGCAGAGGTGAGCCCCTGAACTCTGAGTAGCAGGAGGACAGCTTTGTTTCTCTTCCTCCCCTTGAGAGAGCAGGAGAGGTTACAGTCAGAGGATGTTCAGGATCAAAGTTCTCGAAAACTATTAGATATGTTTCTTCTAAATAATTTGAGCCTTTATTTGACCAGGTGCTTTTATTAGAATTTATTTTCTCAGAGGAAATGAACAAATTAAACAGTGAAGGATCTGGAGAACTGATATTTGTCAAGGCTGCATATTCTAAGAAAGGTCATGGAAAGACTACTGATCAATTGTTGCAACAGATGCCCCATTTTAACTGCTTCCTAGTGTTTATTCTTTTGGAAATCCCTCTGTCTTAATGTTATTCCAAAGCAGTATAAGACAGCCATGAATCTTTTGCCCACGCTTGCTCAAGTTTTCCACATCAGGACAGTTTATGCTTAGCATAATGCCCGTAAAGTAGAGAATGTCTTTATTGCAACTTACTAATGTTTTGACCACTCATGGCATTGTTTTGCGGGGAACCCCAGTCTGTTTGTATCAGACATGCGAATTATCAAACAATATTTCTTATTTTGATAAGAGAAGGTTTTGTCTTATCAAGTTTAACATAACCCCTAACTTTTTTTTTCTTCTTCTTCTGCATAGAGAGAAGTTCATACTGGAGCAAGAGATCAGGGAAAAAGAGGAAGCCATCAGACACCAAAATAGTGAAGTTCAGGTAAGGCTGGCCATCTTGAAACAAGCTCCAGGTTTATGTTGTAGATTTTCAGACAGAAATTGCGGTTATACTTTAAAGAGATATTTCAAAAAAGTGAGGTTATGAGGTACAACAGAGATTTAAAAAACATCTGCATCCCCATTCAGACACTTTTCTGAAGTTTGCGACAAGCAAGAACTACGATTGTTTTAAACCTGACAGCAGTGAGCCATGTTCGCTGTGTTTTTTTTTGGTATTCTTTTTAAGTACAATACTCTGTCAACAGCTCTCTAACAATACTGCAAATGATTCTGTGATCTTATGATGTGGTTCTAATGAGCGTTTCGTTTCTGCATGTCTTCCTAACATCTAACTAACAGACTCAGTAGCTTTACCCTGAGGGGGTTTCTTTTAAACTGTGTAATAGGGCTGGGTGATATGGCCTCAAATCAGTATTACAATATATTAAGCAGCTCACCTCGATAACGATAAATAGACGATAACTACTCCACAAGCTGCTCACCCCCTCCCACATTAACTTCGTCTACTTCAGCCGCTCCAACTTTTGAACCGTCCACCATCTCCTCACCTGTCTTTCCCTCTTTGTTACGGATTGGATGGGGTGGAGTCACGTCTCTGACGTAGGACGGCGTCTTAAAGGGACATGAGACCATAGCCTACCTACACACATAAAATCAACTTTTATTTATTCATCTTTTTACACTGAATATACACATGTGGGCAAAATGACGTTGGTTATTGAGTTTCGGTATCTGTAAATTTTTGGTTTATCGCCCAGCCCTACTGTGTAATATAGATGTGGTTAATTATTTCTCTCTCTCTCTCTCTCTCTCTCTCTCTCTCTTTCTTACTGGGTTGCTGTGTTTCTGTCAAAAAAGACTTCCTCATAGTTACAGGAATTAATCACAGTCTGAAATATTACTGAGGCTATCTTTTTTTTTTTCCTGTGACAGTTTCACAGTTTACAACATGACTGCTTATTCATGACGCACCATGCAGTAGTCTGTTGTGTTTGAGTAATACTGAAACAGATGTTTGTAGATTGATTAATGTTATGTACAGGTGCACAATTAAAGTGGGCTGAGACTGTATGCTTTATGTTATTTACAATATGCTGTACATCCTGTGTTTTGGGTGCTTTTTCTCTCTGATGCCCATCACATGCTTGATGCTATTTTTGGATCAAAGTGGCTTTAGAGTTAACTAATAGATTAGGATGATAACTGAGTTACTGTATCAAAGGAACACCTCTGTATTTGTATGTGTGTGCGTGTGTGACCCTCAGGACATGCAGAACGGCTTGGACAGGGAGAGCAGCAGCCTGCAGGACCTGGAGTCGCAGAAACAGGCCGCGCAGGAACGTCTGGAGGAGATGGACCAACAGCGCTCGAAGCTGGAGGGAATGCTCAACGACGTCAAGCAAAAGTGCCAGGAAGAGTCACAGCTGGTTTGAGACTTTGCTCATTTGTAACATACAAACATGTTAAAACAACAAGTAAAGCTGCAGTGTTTGTATTGGGCTTCTGGGGGGCAAAAACGCTCAACCTTTCTGTGCAGAGAAGCTCATTCTTTCACATGTTTTTCAGATTTATATCAGAGATTACTTAGGGTCCAAAAAAAATAGCACATACAAGTTTCTTTTGTGCACTTATTACTTTTTAATATGTGTTTTTAGGTAGATTACTTTAATGCAAAATGAGGAAGTGTCATTTTTAAAGTATAAAGAAGATCATCCTCTTACTGTGATATTAAGCTTTGGAGTTTTCTTGCACTTTTCATTTGACCTCATCACAAACCAAAGACTACAAAAAGAAAAAACTGTTATCAAACATAGTTTTAAACCAACAAATTCAAAATATTTTTCTTCTTGTACCCCCAAGATCTCATCCCTGCAGAGCCAGATCCGCTCTCAGGAGACCGACCTTCGAAGCCAGGAGGACGAACTGGGTCGCACTAAGATAGACCTGAGCAGGCTGCAGGAGGAGGAGGCCCAGCTGGAGCAGAGCCTGCTCACTGGTCGTGTGCAGCTGGACAGTATCATCAAGTCGCTCAAAACCACTCAGGAGGAGATCAACCAGGTCAGGCAGTAGGGATGGATGTCATCTGGATCTCCGATCAGCTCAGTTTTTGTGCACCATAAAGTTTTAGAGTTCGAAGGGTTTTTTGAGTTAATGAAAAAGCAGCCTTGGTTATCCAGAAATAACAATGCAGACTCTCCTGTGGAAGCAGTTCAGTTTCACTTTGACTTTTGTTTGGTTTAAGTTTAGCATTCTCTGAAGAGCACTTCTTCAAAGCAGGCTGAAGTGAAACTGTCACATCAAGGTTTATTTTATTTATTCAACTTGACCACTAACCACCAATGACACAATCTGCAGATCTAAACCCACCACAAACATCTGCAAAATAAATCAGGGTTCAGGTACTAGTGCAGTCCCAAGTGTTTTAAGTGTTTTGACTCAAAGTTAACAGAAATCAGATTCTACTGATTCACTTGATTCAATTACATTTCTGTGTCCTCAGGCCCGCGGCAAACTGTCAATGATCCAGGACAACCAAAAAGAGGTGACCAAGACCATTGAGCAGTACAACAGTGCTCTGAGCGACATCAACGGAGGAAACCTCAGCAACCTGCCCGACCTAAGTGAAGGGTTCGCTGAGAAGCAGAATGGAGGTTTCAGAAGTGCGGTGAGAAGATCATAAATACGGTTTATCTTCATTTCCAAATTGAGAATCTTCTCCTGTTGCCATACATTTAATAATCCTAATTGAGAAAAGTAGAATAAAGAATCTCAATAGGAGCACTTTCATATCACCCAGTTCTTTGAGTTTTATCATGAGGAAACTTACACAGAAATGTTTTTATCTTGTTGGTTCTATTATTCAGGACAACTCTTTTAAGTCAAAGATAGCTATGTTCAACAACAGCGGTGCAAAGGAGACTCCGGTAGACCCCTTCCAGACAGAGGACCCTTTCAAAACGGACCCTTTCAAAGGTTTGGAAGATATCTTTGTATTCTTAACTCATTTTAAACTCATTTTAAGATGAAAAACCTAAACCAGTTAAATGATTGGAAACTGTTCCTCGTATTCATGCTTTGGAAAAATAAAATAAAGTTCAGATTATTTTTGAAGTCTGAAGATGATCTTGAACTCTATTTCTTCCCGACCATGACAGTAACTCCGTTCTCACTGTTGTTTCCTTTTTCCAGATCCATTCGGAGATCCTTTCAAAGAGAGCGATCCCTTCAAAGGCACCACATCTGATGACTTTTTTAAGAATACAGACAAGCCAAACCTGTTTGGATCCTCAGATCCATTTGGTAGAAAACCCACACCGCCAGTAAAGGTATCATGTCCTTCTGAATCACTCCTGATGTTTGATGCAAGTGCTGACGGTGGTTCCTTTTGTGTGCACTATTGTGTTTTGTCAAAGGTTCAAAATAATTTCTCCTGTTATTCGGCTGATAGATTGCGAAAGCTGTGGGTGCTGACGTAGTTTGACTTTTGTTGTCAACTACAAAAGAAGAGTTTTGGCAGTTACGCTGACATGAACATTGTGTGTATATTTAACAAGATCTTTTGAAAAACTCCCCCGCTGTTCTTGTGCTTTTTTTTCAGCCAAATTCCTTCAACAGTGGCGACCGTTTCTCATCCAACAGCCCAAAACCAAAGGACTCAGGTATGTGGCTTAGTCATACTATCCTAGGCTTCCAGTAGGTATAGAGTGAATAGACATAAAAAATTAGTAAATATAAAGTAAAAATAAATACCAGCCATGTTTCTGTTCCCTTCAAATCATCTCACAAATAGTCACACATGCTCTCCACATCAAAAAAAAAACCATGAGACTGAGATGTAAAGATTTTACTTATTTGTAGTCATTTTGCAGACCTAGTTTGTACAAGGCCGATTCTACAAGAGTTGATGCTATAAAATGTATAAAAACAGTTTCTGACAACTTGTTTATCACTGTATTCATGTACTTTTAATAACACTCTTTACACATTTGGAAACCAAACCACTTGGCCTCTTCTTGCTGTTTCACACAACGTCTTATCAGAAATCGGCATTGTCAGAATGGCAGCATATGTTGCTCCAAAACCTGTAAGGATTGTTCATCATTGTTTCCCAAACTAGCCATGTTTGCCCTGTTACCGTCAGGGATGCTGGCTGTGCCGATAACCAGCCTGATGATACCTCTCCTCTTTTAAAGCAAAGATATCCCAAATGAATGTCAGATTTTAATTCGTCAGACCACAGGGCACTTCCATTTTACGCTCGTCCATCAGCATTTCTGTGAAAACTTCAGCCGCCGCTCCAGCCGCTACAACTTTTGAACCGTCCTCCATCTCCTCACCTGTCTTTCCCTCTTTGTTACGGACTGGATGGGGTGGAGTTATGTCTCTGACATAGGCCAGCGTCTTAAAGGGACATGAGACCATAGCCTACCTACACACATCCAAAACCAACTTTTATTTATTCATTTATTTGACACAGAATATACCGATGTGGGCAAAATGACGTTGGTTATTGTCGTAAATTTAGGTATCTGTAAATTTTCAGTTTATCGCCCAGCCCTACCATAGATCACATCCTCCCAGTGTCCTTGTCACAGTGGTTTCTCAGATTTTCAGTCTTTTATGATGTTATCCATACCATACTGTTGATGATGAAACTCTTTAAGAATCTCCTTTGGTGAAATACGGGGCCACAGTTGTGGACTAAACTATACATTGAGTTCTCTCCCTGTGACTTTGACAAATAAAAGCTTAAGTGCATACTCATCGCTGAACCAAATATGTGCAGATTTTCCATGCAGATTTCCCACAGGGTGACTCTATTAACGGCCACGTGAATGTAAAAGGGGATTGTTCCCTCAGTGAAACGTCTCAAAGAGTCATTCTATGCCATTCTGGGTGACGTGTCCGATTTAGATTTTGTTTTTTGGGGCATTGGGAGCAAACAATTTTTACTCACTGCGGTTTCAGTTTTTCCTGTGGTTTCTGGCTATTTTTAGTCCAGGACCTACGCATTTAACTGCTGGCAAACTAAAAATACTCCCCCCTACCCTGGAAAAACAGGAGGCCTGCCGGAGCCAAACATAACAGAAAGTTTTTGACTGTTGGTGCTGCTCTACTAGAATACACTGCCACTTCTTTAAAGCAGTCTTACTCTGCCTGCTGCCTCTGTCCTGTCTTTATATCTGCTGCGATTGAAACGCTCTGCCTCATTCGCTACGGAAGTTGTTTTAAGTTAGTGGCTACTTCTGGTCGATGCTCTGCCGTGCTACACACCTTCAGAGGAACACAGAGCCAACTGTAGCCCTGAGCTGAGTTACTGTGCGTAAAAAGAAAACACTACGTACTTCACATGAATGGGGTCTCTTGTGGTCGCACACTCACAACAAACATATTCTATTACAATGTTTTGTTTTTTCACTGTAACCATCTGCACTTAGGCCATTTTTTTTCATTAAGCGGCATACCAAGCCAGCTTCAAAACAACCCGGGCACAGTTCTGGTTAACAGTATGCCGACTGACGCCTTTAATTAGCTGATCACATGCATAGGTCAGGTCAAACAAAACCTCTTCTTTCCAGGTTTTTTGCGAAATGTCACGGAAAATTAAACGGTCATGCCACATTCCCCTCCCTAAAAATAGCGCGCAGGCTCTTTCAGAATAAGCAAGATGCAGAGATGTTGTTGAACGTGTGGTTTCGGGGCTGGACTTTATTATAGTTTCTGGCCTTTTCCATAATCTCACTCAAATGTTCCTAATGTAGTTCAATGTACTCTGGTTGCAGATGTGTTTGGGACAGCGGACCCCTTTGGTAGCAACTCTTTTGGAAACAGAGGAGGTGGATTTGCTGACTTTAGTCAGATGTCAAAGGTAAACTCTGGAGACTCTTAGAGTTATGAATCAGTTGTACCATAAAGCATCATTTTCCACTTAAGCTGTAGAGAGCCTTGTTGTTATTTTTACTGTCATGAGTGATTTCTTACTTCTCTGCCGCTCGTTTCCCCTTTATGAAAACAATCTCCTTGGTATGAAGCCAACGCCTTCAGCTTTTGGCTCACTTTTCCGTTGCAGTCATCATTTTGTGATAGTTGAAGGACTTATTTTTTTGCCTTCTCCCTTGTGCGTGAACAGAAGTCAGACAACCCTGTGCTCCAATCAAAGAAAAATGTGCCTAATCGGCCTGCACCTCCCTACGGTAAGCCCCGATGTGTGTGTTTGTGTGTGTGTGCATGTGTGTGTGTGTGAACATGAATGAGCTTGCAGTTGTACCTGACATCATCGATTTAGTTTTTTTAATTTAACATCTTTTGTCTGTTTAGTTTGGTTGCAATTCATACTGTTGCCATGCCAGTGTTTTTTTAGTTTCATGTTAAATACGCTTACATAGTTGCAACCTGCCACGTGAACGTGGTAGCAGGGTTGTGAACAACTGTCTTCCTTATTAAAAGGCTTTTTTGTGCCATGATGGTAAGCAGAAAAAAAACTACTTCCCCGTTGAGAAGAAAGGGTGAGAGAGGATTCATTCTCATTTGAAGTTGTAAACAGGAAAGCGGTTGGTAGAGGTGAGGTTGCGCTGTGGGTTCACTCGGTGACGTGACCCTCACTAATGTCACAGAGTTGAAATAGAGTTAGAGCAGCGTTTGGTTCAACCTGTGAAACGGTATGATGATGGTTTCGAAAGCGACTCTTCCCTGCCTTGGGAGAGCTCAGCTTTCATGCTCATCTTGTTTTGTTTTTTTCTGTGTGTGGGAGCGCACGTTCACACAGTCAACCACTACCCACAGGCCGTGCCCAACACGTGCCCTTCCGCTGTGACCTTGCACTTATTCTTTTAAGCAGAAGCCACAGCGTGAGAAAGTTGGTGTTCCTCTTTGCTTTACTGCAACAGAGGAGGGTAGAGATAAGTGACCGCATTTAGCCAGCTAGCAAGCACCAAGAGATGTGCATCTTATGTGATAAGGAAGTGAAAAGCCCTCTGTGAAAGTCACGGGCAGCTCTCTGAACGTGTGCATCACAGGGACTATTTGACAGCTATTTTGGTCCAGTTAGAAGGTGACATTGAGCTGTTTGCTAATAGTTGTGTTATTGAATTTTTTTTTTTTTTTTAAAGTGTGATCAACAGTAGTTAACTTTAGAGCCATTGCTGCTGTTCTTACTGATAGTTTTGCCTTCTTTAACTTGCAACTGCAGCCAGTGTTGCACAAAGTTTGATGGAAACATTAAATATGATACCATGACAAGAAGAAGAAGAAGAGTTAAAAGCTTACTGTATGCATGGGTGTGGCTGTCCTCTATAGTTCTGTTTCCATAAAAAGCCTCACTTTGCTTGTAAGGCTTCATTGCATCAGTGAGCCTTACTAAAAAAATGTGGTTAACACCTTTTTTTTAAATCAATATCTCTTTCCCCTTGAGGACGGCTCTGCACACCTTCAGCTTGAAGCTGCTGGCTTCCTGTGAAAATTAAGCCACACAATATCATACACAGTAGCTTTTCTTAAGTGTGAACTTATTTTCCCAAGAGGCTATCAGCCGTTGGCATCTAAAGAAGAATGATCTTTTCGCACAGACTGTATGTAAATGTCTTCCTTTTCCAGTAGGTATGCTCAGTTTGGCCACGTCAGAGCCGTCCCCGAGCGTTCCCTGTACGGGCTCGTTTGTTACAGCTCAGTCGAGTAGCGCTCCCAAAGACTGTCCTGTGGGTTTTGCCGAATTCGGCCCCGTAAGTGTAGTCGGCTTATGGTTTTCTGCTGGTATTGTTTTTTGTCTGCATGTGCCGCTGATCTTATGATCTCACTCTTAAGATAGTAGCGCTGCAGGCTCCAAGAGTGACAGCTGCCTGTCACCGGCCCTCTCTCTGTCATCTTCCCCTCACACAGCAAGCGATCACAGGACCGTCGTGCTTACTGGCTGTTGACTAACACCCGACAGAACACCTGAGAGCTTTTTTAAAGGCTTGGCAAAGACGGAAGTCGAACGTTTACATGACTGACTTTGACATCCCTCAAACTTGTGTCTGTCTGTCTGGTAAAGGGGCTCTTGCATGCTTCTTGTTCTCTTTGGCTTTTTGAAAGGGAGACAGGATTTATAAACTCTTAATCAGTCAGTTAGTGAACTTGCCCGGTCAGGTAGCACTCGAGGAGCATTTCTCAAGGCTTGGAAGTACAAGTTAAAGGCTTATTTGCTGTCAAAGCATGACATGCCTGGAAGCAGAGCACAACAGAGTAAATCTTCTGCTTTGTCCCACATCTTCCGCTTCTTTGCCTCCGTGTGTAACCAGAGTTTGGAGAGATGATGCATGGCAGCTTTTTGTGTCTGGTTTGTATTCATTTGACATGACATGTATTTATGTTCTCCCTCATACCAGCATGAGAGTTGTGAAAGGGATTTGTGGGTTCCTTTTATATCGAGCTGTGTATTGTAATTTTTTGTTTTTCTGCCAGGATCTGAATTTGACGAGGTAAGTCTGTACAAAGGGTGTGGTGGTCAGTCCTTTGCATGTGAGAAAACCTGTCCGCACTGCGTGATCTGAGTACGCTGATTCAGAAGCATGAATACTTAAGTCGTCACTCACGGTGATCCACGTGATGAATGTTTATGGGTAATGCGCCAGCAGTAATTCGTGCCACTAGAATATAGCTATAAATATTTTTTGTAGAGCTTTCTGTGTTGCTTTTTTCTGCTTTTTTGTGTCATCCAAGCAAAATCCAAACATCAATATTATTGCATTTATGTGTCTCAGTAGAGTGCCTTATAAATCAGATCCTTTCAATTATGTTTGATGTATATTTTGATCTTTCACCCAAGGAAAAAACATGATTTCAAAATTTGCACCCACTATTACTTCTTCTAAATCTTGCCTACACTGAGCGACATCTCTCTGATTGAGTTGACTTTGTATCGCTGTGTCTATATATCTGATGGGTGTTTCTCTGCTATAGTTTGGAAATGAGAGCCAGCAGCTGGAGTGGGCCAAGCGGGAGAGTGAGCGTGAGGAGCAGGAGAGGCTGAGGAAGCTGCGGCTCCAGGAACAGCAGGACCTGGAGCTGGCCATCGCTCTCAGCAGGGCCGACATGCCCAGCTCCTGACCAGGCATGCCTACACTACAGATTTTAGTCTCCTCCTCTCTGCCTTACAGTCCCCCCTGTCCTCAGGCTCATGACAACAGCACCAACACTGGCCTACTGTGACAGACAGCCCTCTGTGACCAGTTTATGCAAGAGAACAGTGTTTCTCCAGCCACCAATGGACTCTAGTCCAACAACTCCACACTTATCACACAGTCGAGGTTCATCTCTCCCAAACTACACGGCCACCATAATCAGGGATGAGAAGAACAAACTTGGTTTTAACCTGCAAAAACACAGCCTTTTGTCAACTCCACTATAATCTCTATCTAACTTCATATCTTACATCTAATTACCCTGAAATATAAAACCACCATTGTGTTACAAAGAGTAACCTTTTAAGAATATTTTACCCTCTTATTTATACGAAAAGCAACAAATCTGTTGCGTGAGAAGTACCTGTAAATGACATGTATAATGACTGTTTTATATAACCTTTAACCTTTCAGAAAAATCCTCCCATGTTGACTTTAGATGCTAACTCTTTGGTTGGCCTTTGATCGAGTTGGCCCTGTTTCTAATGTTTTGTTTTAAGGGAACCTCTACATGTACTGTAAATACTGATAGACGGTGATTTTACGTACGAGCATTAGGAAAGTCTAATCAGACTTTTTGAAGTCTTAAAGGACCAGAGTTTAGTGATCAGATGATCAGTGGTATGATAGAATTGTTTTTATTTCTAATGCGTCTCAACTGTTTCAGCCATTTATGCCTGCTAATTTGAATATTTATGGCCTCAAAGTAAATGAAGTGAAAAACACTGAAGCATAATCAAACCCTCTAGACTAGAGGGACTCGTGTTTATAAAACTGAAAGAATGTTGTTTTTGAACACCCTATGAAGAATTGTTGAATTTTGACCCCTTACTCAGCTTCCGCCTAATAGAATTCAGTCGTATTATATCTGCAGATGCTATCGATAATCAGTGAGGTCTTTATTATGAAGCAAGCTCAGCCCATCTGCAGGGCCGTTGCATCATCCCTCAGATGTCAACAGCTTGTCTCTGTCAAGTGGATTATTATTGGTTGCCTTGTAACGCCCAACAACATCCTGCACTCCCATACAACTGAAAGCCTCTATAAAATGGAGTTAGTGTAAACTTGTGTTGTTTATGCTGGTGCTGTTACACTTCGTCACTCTACCACTGATGTACAGTGAAGGCTGCCTCTAACTTCTTTTTGCCAGTCTTGTTTCAGCTTTCGAAACCAACCAAATGGATCTCTTTTTCTTTTCCTGGTGGATTTCTTTCTGGTTGTTGAGGTCTAATGATGGAGTCGGAGTGCATTTCCTTAAAATGCCTTAAAATCTCGCATCTTTGTAACCATGAAACACTAATCAGGTTCATTTGGCACATAATGTACGCACTTGTATATTCCAGATTAGACTTGGTATGTACAGAGTGACAGCGCCTTATTTATCTACATATCAGCTTTGTAACATGTAATATTGCACAGTATGTATAAGATATTAAAAAAATCTCAGCTTTGAGGTGCTCCGAACTGTTAAAACTTTTAATTAAATAAAAGTGATTTTTAAAACTCCCAGAACAAGGTAAGTTTTGTTTTTTAGTTTTTGGGATAGAACAGTTTTTTCAAATATGTGATTTTTGAGGCAAACCACAGCCCAGATGTAGTAAAACTTTGTTTCAGACTCTTTTTTTAGCCTTTGTGTGACACTTAACCGTACAGTAAAGACTAGGTTTGACGAATTGTTTATATTTTTTATTTCTATATTAATACTGGAACAAAAAAGGTGAAATGAGAGTGATATATTTGCATCAACCCTTTCAGATATTTTTATCTTGCATGTACTTCCCCTTTTTTAAAAATATGTTGATATGTTCTAGTAAAGTGTTGACACATCTATGTCACACACAGCATGAACAGCTCGCTTTTACTGGTTTCTTTTAGATGTGGAATTACTGTCAGGCTGTGTGTCACCATGTTGTGTCACACAGAAAGAGCGAAGTCATGTCCATCATGGACCAAGTACTTCAAGTAAAAATGTTGAATATTTATCTGTTCTCTAAAATGGCATCTGGCTCTGCTACATGGACAGACTTTGATGCGGGGAAACAAATGCTCAGTGACACCACGCAGACATATAATGCATGGACTGAGATACTTTGAAACTGCAGAGCAGAGTGACTCTGTGTAATTGTAGTATTAAGGCCCTTTGATGTCCTACTATAATTTCTACCCATCAGAAAGGGAGTCTAAGGGCTCCCTGATGAGGGTTTTTGCTGTGCCCCTCTGTCCAGACGGCTCCCGGCTCACTCTGTAATTATGGAAATGGAGTGTTTGTATTTATAGGCTAAGCCCACAAGCGGCTGCCCTTCTCTGTCGTGCAGCTGCAAGACATCACCATGAAAATCAAGTGCCCGTGTTTTGAATTAAAGTGAGTATACGATTGCAACATGTACAATCTATTTTGTGTAACTTTATCTGACAGTCTGCAGGTCTGCTGCCCTCTCATGCACTGGTTGTAAACACTGTTGAACCTGTTCATGAGTGGGAGGTTGTGGTTCATTGAGCTTAAAGTGTGAACAAGGTGTAACTAATGACTAAGCATGCATAAAAAGTCAAGAGTCACTCAGTAAAGCAGTTGAGTTTCAATGTTTTTTAATATTTACAATAAATACATTTGACAGTATAAAATCCATGTACATATTTATATAAATTTAAGTGAAAAATAATGCACAGGACATCAAGCCCTGATAGTGAACAGAGGGGCTGGATCCGAGAGTTTCACACAAGAGGAGACAACTTCAACTCCACAAAGGAGGTGGCAGGAAAATCAGGCCAGTCAGACACTGAGGCAGTTTAAATAAAACATTGTCTTTGCACATGTCAGGCATCTGTATGTGCACCTCACTCCTGTCAACAAGAACATGTTCTGTTTTGTGGCCAAGTCACGAAGAGTTTTACAGTAGCACAGTCATAGAAAGGCACTTTTGTGTCAAACACAGCATTCCAGTTCTGTCAAAGAAGAGTAGTATGTACAGGGCCAGCCCCTTCTTGGTCTGCTTGCTCTAAAGCAAACAAAGCTTTTCTAAAGCTTTCATACAACCAGAGTAGTACCAGCTACATCATTAGAAAATAATAACACTAAAACTTTTAATTCAATATTATATAAAAAGACTTTGGTCAGGTGGAGAACAATTTAAATAAAAATACATCAGTTCAATCACAATAAAAAAAACACAATCCCCCATGAACCCTCAGTCTTAATGCGGGCTCCTTCACATGTGTCTCTTCATGTGAAGCGCGAGGTGGTCAGACCTGGAGAAGGCGCGCTCGCACAGGTGGCACTGGAAGGGCCTGTGACCTGTGTGTTTGCGGAAATGACGAGTTAATTCATCAGATCGGGCGAATTTCCATCCACAGCCTTCCCAGCTGCAGTGATACGGCTTCTCACCTGCGTGGACAGAGAAATGAGACACCATTAGACTTTGCTTTAGGGGGAACATAGTTTCAAGCAGAGCAGGCTTGTGCGTAATTACGCACAGATATCATCTGTAATATCATGAGTGATGTGGACTCAGACTTACCAGTATGAGTTCTAAGATGTGCCTTCAGGTGGGAGCTCTTGGTGTAAGTTTTCCCACAGCCAGCGAAGGTGCAGGTGTGTGTGGCTGTGCGCTTGCGCGGCCAGGTGCGTCGCCCTCTCTTTGGTTTCGACTCCAGCAGCTCCAGGGGAGAAGAGGGCGGTGTGAGCATCACCCTCTGTGCGCCTGGCTGCATGCTGAGACCTTCATCATACATGCCAAAAGCAGTGTGTGGAGCGTGATAGGGCATCTGCATCTGCTGAGCCTGGGGATGGTGAGGGTAGGCTGACTGTGTGTGGTACTTCTGGGAGAAGTTCATGGGCTGGCACAGCTGTGTCTGGCAGTCCGAAACTCCCTGGTCATCGGGGCTGAGAGGCGGGGTCATGTTGCTGGCTGCCCGCGGGGAGATTGCAACCCGGGGCTGCTCGAAGGACATCATGCACGAAACGTTCCCTTCTTGCTTGATTTTGCTGCAGCTTTGAGGCACCATGCCCATAACGGGGCCGTAACCGTCCATGGGGGGCTCGACTTTGATTTCCTGGCGGGGGAAAGGCACCGCGTTGAGATAAAACCTCCCCTGAACACCGGTGTTGCGCGTAATGCCATAGTTGTTTGGTCCTTCGGAGCGGAGGAGCTCTGTCATCAGGCTGGCGCCGTACGGGGGCGGCGGGGAGCGGTGGTCCTCTGCTTGGTAGGATGGCACCGAGTGTCCCGTCGTGTACATGTTGGGATCAACTGTGCCAGCAAAGTCCGGCGCGCTGTCTACGCTTGTTGTGTTGGCGAGAATAAAATCCAGATCCAAATAGTTACTCAGATCCTCGTCGTCCTTTTTGCAGTGATTGTCCAGGTTATGTACCATTTCAAGCATGGAGCAGCTGCTGAGGAGTTTGTCCGTCTCTCCTTTCCACCTCTGTAAGAAAGAAAAGATTATAAGTCATGAGTTAAAAGTTAAAAAGTGGGGAAAAGAGGCAGACAACACTCGAAGTTTATCTCTCTTTAATAGTTTGTTTGGTTTTCTTGTTTTCTTAAAGTTTTAAAGTTACTGAACAGTCACTCCAATCAAAGCAGGTGATCGAAGTGATGCATGTCAAATTCAGCTCCAACTTCTAAAGAAAATACAAATAGATCATAAACTTACGTTTTCCCAGGGTTTTTCTCTTTGGTTTGAGAAAGTGGAAAAAGATGGCAGCATCAATCCAGATGTGGCCATCGTTTTTGGTGAAATTATATCAACTAAATATCTCGTCAAAGTCGCGTTTTGTTGAGCGGCAGCCGCGCGAATCTGTGCGCCTTTCTCACTGTCTCTCCTCTCCACAGCTGCGCTCAGGAGACATGAACAAGTATCAAAGTGGTAGGAGGTCCTCCAAACCTTATAACCGTGTAAGCCCCGTCAGCTCGGCCAATTGTGAGAGCTCAGGAAACAACGTAAAGTTTGGTAAATTTAGCTCTTTATAAAGCGGGTCGTGCAGGCAGCGCTGCTCAGTTCGCTGTATGACAGGCAGTGCAGCGCTGAGGAGCCTATAAAGCAAAGCACCGCCCCCGTGATGGCGTCAACGCTCACTAAGACACGCCCACCGACTTTGGAAAAAGTTGCTGGCAAATTACAAACACACACACGGACAATATAGCAACCATAGATACTTACATAATACCGCTGAAAAGAACAAGTCTAATGACAGAAACTGCTGGAGGCCAAGCCGCAACAACTACTTAATATCTGGAGCTGTCAGTACTCCAGTTAATCAGAGGAGATATGAAGGGCAATAAAAACTATAATCAGATTCAGAGGAGTTGGGTAGAAGCCTGGAAGAACAAACAAGAACTAAGAATAATGGCTTTAATAAAACACAGGCAAAGGAGATTGGCTTTGACATAAAAAGTTGGATTTTGCGAGATTTATCACTGAAATCTTGTCTTTGATTGCATCATTTGGCTAATTCATGCCTCAAGATAAAATTCTTTCCCTTGTATCTTTGTTGTCTCTCCTCTCTCTGTAAAATAAGTGACTTAAGGTGAAGGGACTCCGGTGTACATGCAGATGAAGGTGCTCTCTGCTGCTGCTGCTGCCTCCACCTGTTTGGCGCGTCTCGCTCTCGGCTCATTATCATTAATGGAAGATGTTTTTTTGTTCCCTCGCAGCAGGCTTGTCCAAACAGGCGCCAGGTTAGTCTGAAACGCTTTTCACGGCGTTTAAACGCTCTAACCGCTGGTGATGTAAACATGATTTAAGGTAACGTCCCATTCAGGTGTAAATGCCGGACAGAGAGGGGGGCTGCGGTGTCGATTGGAGCGCAAAATTTGCATCACAACTCCTGCCTGCTTGTTGCTGTTTCTGCTGAGAAGATCTGGTTTCTGACGTGAGACAGTCGGTCTGTTTTCTCAGCATGGATCCTCTGACTCCAGAGGTCATCAGGGCAACTGTAACTGCACTTGGACAGAGTTTGAAAGACTTGAATTAATGTGAAAACATGTCTCTGTGCCTCAAGTCTCTCAACTGTTAATGAGTCTAAGCCCACTCGAAACCCTTTATACATTAACTTTGAAATTAAATGACTTAATATAAAACCACACAAAGAAAAAAAACAGGGTGTGAAGCAACATTTTTAATTCTTTCCATCTTTTTGAAATAAATTTTTACAACCATTAACAAAGATGAAAACAGGGGCGTGTCCAGACGTTTTAAACTGGGGTGGCCCTGACTTATGCGGGGTGGAATGAAGCATGATTAAATAACAATTATTTACTCATTATGTCTTATATGTTCTTAAAAAACACAGAGTCTCATACAGATGTTATACTCCTGTGTCAGAAGTAACTCAACTGATAATACATTTTTTGGTAACACTTTAAAGTAACCATACCATATAAATGGCAAATAGACCATTTATAAATGGTAAGCAGATAGTTTTCTTAATGTTTAATCATCATATAGACCATTAATAAATTGTAAATTTTATAATTTTTAAAAACCCTAACTCTAAATTTACAATCACCATCTAAGGAATGTTTATAGGTGGTTTAAAAACCAAATATTAACCATTTACTAAGTGCTTCTGACACACATTTAAATCTAGATGTTTTACAACCAATATTTAAACCCTATAGAAACCTTTAATAAATAGTCCATTGATAATTTAATGAGAATTATTAATCATAGTTTCATTGCTTGTTGATGGTAAAGTAACTTTTAACTTACATTAATAAACTATATATTTGCCATTTATAATTTGTCTATAAGCTGTTTTAAAATGATGATTAAACGTTAATAAACTTTGTTTTTACCATTTATAAATTACGGTTATTGACAAGTTTTACCCTTTTTTTTTTTTTTTTTTTTTTTTTTTCTTTAGGACCCAAAAGGAGACATATGTACAAAATCTCCATCTGAGTATCAACAAGAAACTTTGCTAAAATAGAACTCCAGGAAAGCCTCTTGCAGCCAGTTTCAACCTCCTATCATGAGTAATAATGATGAAGCATTGTTAAAAACTGCAGTTCCATGAATGTCCACTTGAGGCTCGCTCCAAAAGCCCCGACACACCCATGTGGTGATTCATCTCAATAACTTATTTATTTTAAAGATCTTCAGATTGCAAGTTTTGCACAATACAAGGCACAGATGACTTGACTGACAGGCGGGTACATTGTAGCTGTTGGCATGGAGACCTAAGGCACATTACATAGTTTTTCATTATGTCGGCAGAAAGTCTGAGGGAGTGAAAAAGCTTTAAAACTTCACTGTAGAAACCAATGGTTGACATCACTGAGGCTACATTCATGTTTTATTGGGTGATCACTCACAACAGATGCTAAATAGCTGCTAAACAAATGTCATATCTTTGATAATCCTAGTCTGGGACTTTGGGGTGGTAGCGCCCATTGGCAACCCCGGCCACCCCTCCGGACACACTCCTGTCTGAAAGAAGATCTTAGGTATTTTCTATGTAAAAGTTGCAAAAAAGTCTGGATTTTAAAGTTTTTAAATTAGTTTGACACGTTCTTAGTGAAATTTCATAAGCATCAGGCATGCTCTGAGCAGGCATTATGCACTTTATAATCAGTTTCTCTCAAAGTTTTGTACATTGAAATTTTACCTCATTCGGGTAAAAGTGGTTGTAACTGATGTTTTCACTGATGCAGTCACTCATCTGAATGAAGCTCAGATTTTTCTCTTTTTTTTATACTATCAGGATGATTCAACTTGAGATAATTTGTTTTGTATCAAGTATCTGTCAACATTATACTTTAAGAAACTTGAAAATGTGTTACAGTTCTTCCTCTTCTTCTTCTTCTTCTTAGTAAGTAGCTCTGAGTCAGCTCATAATATAACAAACCGGAGTTCAGTATTTGAGAGGATATTCTTGTTAACACTGTGAAAAGACAAGAGAAACACTCCTCTTCTTCAACAGGTGCAAAAACAGTCAAAGTACACAGTGTATGATGATGATTTGAGTAAATGCCGAACTTCTGAGCGCAGATCCACATGACACACTCATCACCTCTCACCAGGCTGTCACGTCCACCAGTAAACTGAGTGAGTGGAGCCGAGAGGTTTCCACATCCTGATCCCTGATCTGTGCTGTACTGTGTTCAGTGGAAAGTGCGTCACACGGCAGCAGTCCAGTAAAGCCTGAGAGGAAGTGTGTTTTCAGTGGCAGTGGACAGAGCGGCCAGCCTGATGTCTGAACCCCTGACCTGTCGGCTTGGTGCCGCAGAGTCCTCCTCTGTGCTACCAGTGAGAGCGCACTCACTCTCACTTCCCCTCCGTTACTCAGCGGCCTTTATTAATGCTTTGTAATGAGCCACAGATCCAGTTTAAGGAACTTCTTCCATTGCTGACTTCTTGATAGTTACTGTCATATCTCACAACTCACTTATAAAAACAATCCTTTTGCAACATTTTTCACTCCCTGATAGTAAAGCCAGAAAGTCCCCTCTGTTGAATTAAAGTTGACATCTGATTGTGTCTATGAGAACATACGTCATAAAGTTTTGCAATTTGGCTCCAAACTTTTTGAGACACCAAAGTATTAGTTAATACTTTATTTATTTTATGAGGCACTTTGTATAGTTTAGCTCAGAATAAAGACCAGAAAGGAGATGAACGCCTGGTATATAATGTCTCGAAGCATCTCTACAAAGATGTGTCATCAGTTTAAAGCTCTAGTAAGGAACTTTGCATGAATTTTGTTATCCCTTGTGGACAAAGCTGTACCTCTTAAGTCTTTACTGACTTTTTTCTAGAGCTGTCATAATATCAGACTTTCGTAGTGGCCATGAAACATCACAGTAACAAACGTATCATGGTGTTTATGGCAAACTTGAAAACAAAAAAGCACAATCAGTCAGATTGAGAAGAGGTCACACACAGGTCAAAGGTGACACAAATCTGTACTTTATAAAATTGACGCATGATTGCAGTTAAATTATACGTCATCATGCATTTCTGAGCATATCCGCTTTATTGATTCATCATCAACTCTAGGAACAAACGTCTTCGGAGATGAAATTGCCTCAATACAGGATTGTTTGTCAGGCTTTTATTTTGAAAATTTTCAGCCTTGTGTTAAAATAGCTTTCCTTTCTGCATTGTCAAACTAAGCTTTTATTTTGGTGTATACTACTTTTGGAAAATGTAAGTTGCAGAGTTCAGTAAATACGATCGATTGATTAGTAACCCATAGCGGCGCATCAACGTTGATTTTGAATCTACTATCTATCTTTCACTTAATTTTTTAAAGTGCCTAATCTCTCAGAAGGCTGTGTCAGCTGGCTCGGCGGTCTGCTACTTCTTCTTTGTAAAGTCTTTGCTCAGTTTGTTTCAGTAACCTTTATTTAGAAGAACATAAGTGAATCTCAGATAGTTTGATCATTATTTCCAGAACATCCAGTTCATGTCATGATTTAACCAGACCTTATTCCAGAAGTTTTACAACTGTAAAACTGTATGTAAAGTCTTTATTAGACATCTCTGCACCTGGCAGATTCAAATGCCAGCCAGACAGAACTGAAAACTTTGCACTTGAGTAGCCTGAAATCATGTGAAACTGCACACAGCAGGGCTCTGCTCCATGACGTGCAGCAAAGGGATGAGAAAGGCAAACAAGAGAGCTGTAGCTGGCAGGTCTGGTGTTTCCCTGAAGGGAGCCCTCACTAATTCAGATGACGTTTAAGAGACAGGTTTGTATTTCATTCTGATCCGTCACTTCCTGTGGAGAAGTGTACGTACCAGACGAGAGAATTTCATTTGGGCAAATTGAGTACAGGACCACACTTTGGATGGGTGGGACACACTTCTGACTGCAGCGGCCAACACAAGAACATTCCTCTTGTCAAGTTTTAAGTTGGAGACATTCATAAAAAGTTGATTAAAAGCAGGAGCTGAATTGATTCCTGAAAGAGTTCTCCTTCTTATAGGTCAGAGGTCAAAAATACGACACCTGCAGCCCGGTGTGAGCTGCACATTTGACTTCCCTAAAGAATGGAACAAGTGAAATCACAGTATATAAAAAAAGTTGAATGTAGATGAGCAACCCTTCCACAGAAGCTTCTGAGAGGCTCTTTCCCTGAATCGACATTTGCACAATCGTGTAAATTGAGCAACTTCTGAGTCCTTTCAGTCGCCTGTTCTATTTATGTTTAAGTATATCACTGCAGTGCAAGTTCCCAAGCTTATGGATTTGCTACCGAGTCATGAAGCTGACGACATGTTTCCGTCCAGCAATGGCAGTGACATTTACGCTTGAAAATAACCTGTTTTCTTAACGCACTTGTTCTTACCAAAACTCTAAGGTGGAAAACTTTATTGACAATGTTTGAAATCTGAAGTATCCCTCTTTCTTGGAACTTTTACTTCGAATTAAGACATCAGTTCCTCAAATCTGAAGAAAAATACAACCAGAACTCTCAACTACACTCCACCCAAACACAGAAACACGAGGACTCATCACAAACACAAAGTTAAGCAGGAAAGGAAATTGAGATACTCCAAGTATGCAAAAGTCCAAATACCAAAAAGTCCATGTTCAATAAACTGAGGTAGAAAACACCCCCAAATTTCTGGAAAGGCTACAAACTGTTATGCTAACACTTCTCAAGAGATTTTCCTGATTTATTACAGCGAGGGTGGGTCATAGCCGTCCATGTCTCATTCTCCCCATGATGAAATCCTTCGCTGTCACTAATAAGTATCTAAGTTGGCGACATGAAAACAAACAGGCATTTTGTCTGGGTCAGGTTTGAGAGCGTTTCGTCACTGTGGTGAGAATTTGGACACATCAGCTCTGCCTCATGTGGCACACTCCGCTAACTTCCATGGAAAAACAGTGTGTAAGTGTGAGAGGCAGCAGCGGCAGCAGCAGGCCTTCACAGGACGTCCTGACTGAGCCCGAGTCGAGGAGAGTCTGAGAGTGAGTGAGATCCTGCTTCATGCTTATATAGCCCAGTTATTTTTAAACACCCACCCCTTTTGCTTATTACAAAGTTGCCCCCCCCTCTCGACCACTCAGGAAGCACGTTTGGCTCCTTTTCCTGCTCACATGCGGCCAGATTCAAACAGAATCAAAGAATGATAGCATTGAGGCTCTCCAACCCCCCTGTTGGAAAAAAAAGGGGAAGGGGATGGAGGGTGGAGGGGGGTCAAGGGGGGAGAGAAATGTTTAGCAGAAAAGTTTGGCACGCGCCATCAGCTTGACATTCAAAGAGCTGGCTTGAGTCCTGCTCAAATTTCAGAAAACCTCAAACATTTGTTAGAATAACAGCACACGGACGGGGCAGCAGACAGTCCAGAGCGCGCTTTTTTACCTGAGGCAAACCGTTCAAAGAGGTTTCTGTGGAGAATTAGCATAACTAAAGGACAGAAGAGTTTCACTGTTGAAGGTAACTGTCACCAAACAGAGCTACCAGTGTATCCTTGAGCTAATTTGAATAATGTGTGGACTGACTCTGGTTGTTTATATTGTTAGGCGGTTAAAGAACATTAAACAATACTTGAAAGGGGACAAACTCAGGTCTTTAATACCAAGACAGACAGATTATTCCAGGTTAATATTTATGAAAGGTTTTTGGAAAATAAGGATAAATCTAAAAAACAAAACAAAACAAAAAAAAAACCTATAAAGTTTCTGTCATTTTGTCATTTTGCACAGCTGAGTTTACTATACAGAGTAATGGTTTTTCATCATAGATGACTAAGGGATAAATATAGAGCTGCTTTCCGGTATTTTTTAAAGGAACAAAAAAAAAGAGAGAAAATGACCAAAAACTCTAGCCTGTAATAAAGGTAGGTTGCGAAAATATCAATCTACATAAGGATCAGCTATCTCCTCTATATTAGATAAGAGGGATTAAACGATGAAGCACCCTTTAGTAAACTATTACTCAGTTTAAATGCACCAAAATCTACAACAGGACTGTAAAAATAATACATTTAGGACATATACTAACCAGAATAAATGTAAGTTAAGGTGTAGACTATAATAAGTTTTATATCAGTGAGAATAGGCTGAAAATATAAAGCACTTTTAGTAAGTTATTCAGTCAGAAAGCACTAAAATATACAAAATGACTAAAACATAAAGCTTTTGTTATGGGAATTATAAAAGCACACCTGTGTACTAGCCTCAGTTTTAGCCAGTTGTACATACAAATGGTGTATTTAAATCAGAAAAGACAGATTATCATTAATGGAAACGTAACCATGAATTTCAGCTTTTAAGGTTCTCTGACAAGGACTGTATCTCTCACTGTAGGCCTTCTGTAGGTTATTTTGCTTTAATTGTAGCTCTGAGTAATAGCTAGCAGCTTCCTCTATCAGCAGGGACCGACTAACTGTGTGAGGAACCTAAATTTAATTCAGTTTAGAAGCACCTAAAACGACTAAACGCTGTACTTAAAACTAACTGAAATGCGTGTTCATATGGTGTATTATAGGAAACTTGCATATCAAAGTGTTTCAGTCTCAAAACCCAGAGAAAAAAGATTTGAAGACAGAAATAACCCGTTTTATATCCAGGTAATTAACATGCTTCTCTGTCTCCCTGCATGTTACTGAGTTAAAGCTGCTGAAAACAAAGGGTTTATACTGGTCCCCGCTGCGTTCCCCAGCACCTTCGCTTTAAAACAGCCAGTGTCTGGCTTCCACAGAACCCAAACATGTGTCTCGACAACCAGTGTAGCTTTCAGCAAGTGTTATGGAAACCCACCTTTTACAAATATGCAGCTCAGCCTGGCTAACATGGCAGGAATAATGGCTACATGTGGATATAATTGAGCCAGTAGAGCACCGGGGGGATGGGCCCCAATTTATTAGCTGTTAACACCAGGAATCATACTGGTCCCACTCATCATACCACACACACATGGCTTGACTGGCTGTGAAAATGTTGTTATTTCCCTCCAAAGTGCTAAAGAAAGTGCTTTTTACTTGATAAATGAGAATTGTCAGGCTCTTGGGATGTTGGAGTGGACCGCTCTGGAAAGGCTGGAACATTTTCAGACTTGTCTTTGGTCTCACACAACAAGTCAAGGGCTGGTAAGGCTCAGTGTAACTCATGATATAAAAACTCTGCTAAAAGGTGAATATTATGTTCCTTCTTTTGCTTTCAATTTGACGATGAGATAAGGCGCAAAAACAAAGAACTGCCCAAAACATCTCTAAATCACAAACTGTTTATGTTTAATCTTCTTCCTTTTCCTTATCAAGGGTCAAACAGTCACAGCGAGTCTCCATGCTTACCAAAACTGACAAATTGTGGTTTGATATTTGATGCACAAACACGGGAGTGATTTATCTTTCTCCTCTTTTGTTGACTGGAAGGAATTAATCATCATGTATCCAAAAGTATAAAACTTCTCCCAGCAGAAACATGTTCTGACTTTGACCGGTATCAGATCTGATCATTGAGGACATTTTCTGTTCTGCTTTCTTTGATTTCTTTCTGATCCATCCAATAACAGCAGGTTACCTCAGCTGTTTCACTTTCAGAATGATGACACTGTACAAAGCAGAGTTTATCCTGCTGAAAGTTCGGGGAGGCCTGTGTTTTTCCCCTCTGTGTGGTACGACAGCCCCAGACCTGTGCACATTTGAACATGCCGAACTAAACTGTGCCAGCTGTTCAAATAGCATAACCCCGGCCTGGACACAGGTTCCCCATTGAAGCCACGCTCCGCTTGATGGAGTGATCCAGCCTGCGCTGCACTTTATAGTGTACACACCTCGAAATGGTGACATTTGTAAAAAGGCTAATAAAAACATTCCTCCAGTTAGGAATGCACCAGGTATTTCCTTTCCTACACCTGGTTACGATTCCTTGAGTGCAGTGGTCTGTTTTCACAGAACCACACTCTTTCAGGGAGTGGATATTGATCCCGCGCTCGTGAATGGCGTTGTGTTTTTCTAAATGGATGACATTAAAACACGTGGGTCTGAGGCTTGACGCCATTTCTCCTTAATCTGTTATGAGCTTGGTGAGGTGAGGTTTTTGGGAAATAAGCGAGCATGAGTTAAACGTGGTGGCGAAATGCATGCTAGTATACAGTAAATGTAAGTCATCTTGTGAAATCAGGTGGGAGGTTATCAGGCAACGTAAAGGGGTCAGAAGGTTGGGATGTGTCACAGTGAGAAGAGGCCTATCATTGGATATGACAAAACCACAACAAACTACTTCTGCATGACTAAACGTGTACGTGTCCAGCTTCTCAAGCTCAGGGTCATGGTCAGATTAATCCTGTCCTGACCTTTCATAACCCTCAACAAAGCTGTTAGGGTTAGGGTCAGGGTTAGTGTTAGGGTTAGGGTTAGGGTTTGGGTTAGGGTTAGGGTTAGGGTAGGGTTAGGTGACCAGATTTCTTCAATGAAATCCGGGGACATCCAGAGGGGGGGTGGGGGGTGGGGTGTCATAGTAGGGCACACCACCCGTAAACTCCTCTCCGTAAAAACTGTTTTTTAGGACTGCGCACAACATGCTTTCTCATGCTTCCTACCAACTCGCAGCTACTGTAATAACTGTTGTTGTTGTCAACACGCAATATTTTTGGTCTCGTTCATGAAACGCTTAAACACTGTGGTGACCGAGCCTTTTCAGTTGTTGGTCCCAGGCTCTGGAATAAGCTTCCCACCAAAATGAGACTTATTGCTGACCTGCGCCTTTTAAAATCTCGATTGAAAACGTATTCATTTTAATACCCAGTAGTTTGGTGACATTTTATTTTATTGCATCGTATCTTATTCTTTTTTTAGTATTTTTATTGTTTTTATTTATTCATTTTTACTATGTATTGTAAAGCACTTTGGTTCACCGAAAGAGTTGTTGTAAAGGCTGTATAAATAAATAACATTTGCATTTACATTTACGAGGACAGCTTTAGCCGGGGACAGGTCATCGATTACGGGGACTGTCCTCGGTTAGGGTTAGGTCTAGAGTTAATGAGAAAGCATGTGAAAATGCTCACCTTTGCAGCACGAGTGGGAAAATTCCAGCAGTTTGGTCTCTGCTTCAGCTTTTTACAGGTTGCCAGGTTATCCATTAGAAAATTGGAGTCAGCAAATCCACCATGGTGAAAGTTTTTTTTCAACCAAAAGTAATTTACTCTTCTCTCCTTTAAAAGTTTCTGTCGGTAACTTCCAGAATAGAATAGAATAGAATATTCCTTTATTGATCCCCCATGGGGGAAATTTTTTTGTCACAGCAGCATCACAGACAAGACAAAAAGTGCAAAAATGCAGTTATAACAATAAGGGTCCTAATATTAAGAACTTAAATAAATGCAATAATTAAGAAAAAAATTAGAAAAGGGAGAAGAAAAAATAAAGCTTTCTACAATATACACAATTTAAATGTCATAAGAAAAGTGGTGGTGTAAAATCAGTTTTGTTACTGTTCATTGTAAAGTCTTATTGCAGAGGGGAGGAATGATCTGCGGTAGCGCTCCGTCCTGCAGGGTGGGAGTCTCAGTCTGCTGCTGAAGGAGCTGCCTAAAGCCCCCACAGTCTGGTGCAGTGGGTGAGAGGGATTGTCCATGATGGATACAAGCTAACTTCCAGTTTGTAACGGTTTTGGCGCCCCCTGTGGCCACTTCGCACCTCTTGTTGCTAAATTTGTTTTGCGCATGTGTTAATTCACAAAAAAACTCACCCAGCTAACCTTCAGTGGTGTCAATCAGTCAATCTTGGCTATCAAAATTGTTCAAAAAGGCCGTTTTGGCCCGTGTCTCCCCTGCCCGTTGTTCGATGCTGAGCAGGTAGCACAAAGAAAGTTTTTACAGCTTCAGTGCCGAAAACCTGCTGTGGTTGAAAACAACGTGATGAGAGCAGTGAATGGGAATAGAAACAATGAAGTTTTGAACCAAACATCTAAAGAATGAGCTGAAACCGGCTTTAAAGCATCATAAAGCCGAGGGGAGCTGCACATTCAGGTATTTATTCCCATATTGCAGCTGCAGCTTGAGGGCTCTCCAATTAGGGAGGCCGAGTTAAAAGATGGAATAAACACTAGCTTTTTACGCGATGCCATTATCACACTGCTTTTACAGCAAAGGGAGACGGAAAATTTTCACACTGAACTCATGTTCTATCAGATTCTTATCTTCGCATATGATTGAACTTTTTAAAGGCCTGGAGGAACAGACTAGAAGTGTGAGGTTTGATGTGATTCACAGGGGAAAAAAAGAGAGAGTTTAGGTGCATTACGAGAAATGTATGATCAAGTTTCCAAGTATGTGTCCCTGCTTCTGCTGCCTTCATTTTGACCCTTTTTCAAGAACTCTTTCTTCAGTGAATTGTGAAGCTTTGAGGCAGTGCTAATGTGGACCTGTGATCAAATAATATCTTTAACTATCTTCAAAATTTCTAGTTTCTAAAAAAAAGTTGTGAGAGTTTTGCTAAACTTAGGGCGCTCATGATCTGGACTGGTGATTGGTGCAGCTTTTGAAAACCCTGGTGCTATAGTTAGTTGGCTAACTAGCCAACAACTATCCCAAATAGTACTATGAGGAATGTGGTCGTAGTCTTACATTTAGAGACCCTGGAAGATCCCCAGAATCTGATCTGTTACTGAAAACTCTGTGACTTGCCAAGACAGGTCTTTGGATGTAAGAGGGTGTCTTATGTTACTCTTTAAAGTTTTGGGGTTAGGGTTAACCCTAAAGTCGACTTCTGTGCAGAAAGATAAGTTTTGATTTTGGATACACTTTCCTTTTTTAAATTGTAGGCTTTTTCAAAAACTCACTTGTTTGATCATGAAAGTAGGAGTGAAAGTTTTAGGGTGTGTGAGTTACAGGGTTTTTGTGGTGATTAATTGTAACCGATGAACAAAAAGTACAAAAGAAATTTGTTTCTCGAAGAATAACGTACAATCCCTAACATTTCATCGAACTAATTACCCAATTAAAAAGCCATTATTTAACGGAACTGTATTTTTCCCTAATATCTAGCGTCGCAGGTTTGGTTAGAGCAAATCCAAACAGGTTGAATCTTTTCCCCCCATGTCTCAAGGCCAGGATGCGTCAGGAGTCTGCCTGCGAGCCGTTTGACACTCTCCCAGTCAATAACTCATCAGGCTGTGGCACCGAGGGGTCAGACAGGTTCCTCTGCACATTTCAGATTCTATCTCAAAGGAGCACAGGGACATTAACCCAGAGTCAAACTGTCATAAAACACCCTCTCTTTTCTAGGGGGGTGAGGGGTGAGAAAGATGCTGTCAGATAGTGTCTTGCAGTTTCCTCGCTGATAGCTCAGACAGAATGACATGGAAACAGTTAAATTGTTTGATAGTGAGAAAGTTTTGTATTCGATGATCGCCACACTGCTGGTTTCAGATTGAGAAAAACACAGCTGGTAGAGAGATTTCTGGGTGTAACCAGTGCTAAATCAATGTCTTTTCTGCCTTGGACAGTTAGAACAGTTAAAGGGAGTGTTCAGGTGCTGAGGGTGTATCTACAACTGAGTAATTTAGATTTTGGGGTTTGGTTGAAAAACACAGAGTAGATAACACTTTGTGGTTGACAAAGAAAACGAGATCCGGTGTGTACCGACCGTTTGGCACGCGCTGCATTCAGATTCTGATGTGTCCCTCTTTCACTCTTACCCTGCAGACAGGAATCGGTGTTTGTAGTGTGGTTTTGTCAGCTAACCAGGTGGGTCCACCATGCAAAATATTCAGCTTGTCATGTGTGAAGTGTACTACCTCAACGGAGAGAGTGGTTTGCAGAGCTACTTGTCGGTTTCCTCTCCAACTTTCAGCAGTTTCTTTTGTGGCTATGTGTAATCCACTGATGTAAACTGATTTAAAGCCGTTTACAGTTGTAGTCATTTCTTCAGATCTAATCCTTTTGTGTTTTATAACAGTCGCAGAAGTGAAAATGCCCACACAGTATAGAAAATAGAACGCTTCAAAAACTCCCCTTGAGAAGTAGGGCGAGTCAAATTACTCCTGAACCCACATACCTAATTGATTTATTTACTACACCTGGCTTCAATAAATGGCACCAAAGCGCAGGTTACTGGTCTATTTAACACTTCAACTGAGGTATAATTAACCTGCTGTAATAGCTCAGGGGCCTCACCTGACTGGTTAACTTCAAACTCCCTCCAGCTTGTCCCCTCTGCTCTTTAATGACCTGTATCTCTCGCATCATCTGTGCATCTTCTCTTGCTTCCTGAATGGGGCCCACCATTGATCAGTGTGTAATTTACGAGCTTTCAGTGAGTGGAAATAGACGGGGGCTGGTTCTTGAGAGATGAAATAGGAGATAGAGAACTTCAAAAATAGTCTGAGATGGAAATGACGATTATTACAGGCACATTTGATTCAGAACGTAATGAATATTTGTCTCCGAAGTCACGGCGGTTTCAACTCTTTTACTCGGTCGCTGAGGTTATTAGCACAAGGAAGCACTGCTGACGTAACAACACTGCCGCTTTGAATGACTGAGCCTCTTATTCATCAACCAACTGTTCCCAAAATATGCTTCATCTTGTCCTTCCACATTATATAGTGACTGTAACACACTGCATTCACACGCACACACACACACACACACACACACTCAGCAACAGCTGTCAGAGCGGGGAAAGCCGAAACAGAGCAACTCTCCCTCCTCAACATCCCAGCCTGCAACCGCATCTTGCCGGCCTCTTTAAGAGGTCAAAGGTCAAAGTGGCAGCCTCTCTGAGTTGACCCTGAGTCCTGCGACCTCTGGAGTGCTGCAGGTCGCTACCCTGTCAACCTTGACTGACCACTTAAAAAACTCACCTGAGCCCTCCCTTCGGCGCTTATCAGGCCCATCTCGTCTGTCAGAACCTGTTAGTCACATGACCCGCTGCCTGCGACGTCCTTTGAGCCGCTGACACTAACCCCTCAGATAATGACTCCTGCCTCGATTAATTCTCAGCTTGTTTGTGTCTCTGTTTAAGCCCCCCTGAATCGTCGGCGTGCCCGGGCGCTTCTCAGGTGGTGCACTTCAACCTGCGGCGGGCTGAGGGGATAAACACACTTGATCCATAAATGCATGTGTGCTCATTAGAGGAGGAGAGCCCTGCAGCTCTGGGTGACATTCTCTAATGCAGCTGCTCTGTTTCACCTGAGGCACAGACACGGTTGCAAGAGAATAAGCCTCTGCTAATCTACCTGCCTGGCATATTATGCAATTCTAGCATTCTTTTGTTAAAGAGATAGAGATCTTCTCAGATGAAGACCTGCATGCATACGGGTGAGATCTACTTTCTAATAACAAGCGGCTGCATATAAACATAATGTCTCTGCGAATAAAAATCAAATTAAAACGAAATTTGAAGGAGCGTTAAAAGAGAGTTGTGCTTCGGAGTTTTAAAGCAGTCAGATATTGTCGCTCACCAGCGTGTTTTGAGGTGTACTCGGGGGTTTAATGCAGCTGGTAACCGCTTCCTGTTTTTGAAACAGTGAATCTTCTCACAGTTTGGCCATAGTTTCCTGAAGTGTGTTTCGGGTGTGTGAGCGGGAGCACTTGTGTGTGTTGTGGGTTAACACAACCGAAGTGTCTTGCAGGGTTTGCAATGACAATCACAGTATCTCTCTAATTCATGTGAGGCACCTGCAAATACGATCTTATTTCATTCAAACGCGTCGTCAACACTTTAGATTTGTTAGTTTTTATTTATTATCTGATAATCAGTAAGTATTTTCTTGTGGAGGAGGTGTTTAAATGAAACGAAACTTGAAAAAAAACTCTCTTTTTGTGTGTGTGAGACATGTGTACAAGTCATTTTGTCTTTCAGGAAACCGATGAATCGCTCACCAGTGTAACCTTCCTGCTCGGCTGTACAGCGGCATGTGAGAGCCGGGCTCTTATTGTCTCTTCATCTTGGCATCTCTCTCTTGTGCTTTGTCTACAATCAGCTTGGACTTCACGCGGGCTCACGCTAGAGATACAACATTCTTGCTTGAGCTGAGGCTGAATGTTGAATGTTGTCTTTGAAATCAGGGATTAAAAGGAACACACATGAGCCCATGCACGACTTGTTTGTGTGTAAATGTGACTGTATCTCTGGGATTAAACGAAAAAGTGTAGCAGATTGAATCAGGAGCTCAATGTTTCACACTCATAAAAAAAAACAGGGTCTGACAAAAGGAGAAGGAGAAAACAGATAATCTAGCGACCGCATCACACAGGTAGCCACACGCCACAAGTTAGAGAAGTGGGCCTGACTTGTGGGGGAAGAGGTTCCCCGCTGGTTTTACACACAGAGATAAACAGCACATCTGGCTCAAAATAGATTCCCTTCATCTCCTCTTGACCTAGAATTTGTGCGCCCACATTGAGGCTTTTCCAGCCAACCCTGTCTTTACCTGCTGCTGAATAACTAAAGAGGAGGCAGAGACGTTTAGTGGCCCACAGCTCATCCTTGTAGCAGCACCCCCAAAAGCTGTAGAGACCTTCACCAGAAATCTGGTCCTCTTCACTCTCGAAATACCCTCATCGGGGGAACAAAATGGGGTTATAATGGAAATGTATGGCAGGGTGTGGCGTGTTATGAGGATCCCACAAATTATGGGCTGGTGGGGTAATTGTTCTAATCCAGAAAACCAACGCTGCGGAAACAGGGCTGCCATTTTGGAGAAAAAGAAGGAGCCGGTTATTTCCTGAGCGCAGGCCGAGATCTAATGGATCAGGGGAAGCTGTGTGGGCCCGCGTGTGGGGGAAAGGAACCTACAGATTTGAGGGTTCTGGGGTTTCGGAAGTGTATGAATATACCTGTCAAGGATGGAGTCGAATACTGTGGGAATCATAATTAGGGTCAGTTGTTGTAAAAATACAGCTCAGAGTCACGTCTTCTTTTGATTTTTACCCTCAGAAAGAAAAAAAAAGAAGAGGAACAGCGATCAAAGATAGCATCTGATGTTTGTGATCCAGTGATTTAAGCCTCCAGCTCTGTCCTTTGTCGTCATTCTTTAATAATTCACTGTGCACTTGCTCGGCTGGAGCTTTCATCAGATGTTGAGATGCAGGGACGTCCTGGATCATGTTGTGTTTCTGCTTTTCTTGGAATGTGCGCTGGCCCTTTGATTGTTCTGTTTCCTGTGATTTCAGAGGCCCCTTTGTCTCAGCGTGCTCACTCACTAATCAGGGAACTCCGTCATAGCTCCCCGCCGCTAAGGCCGCTCTCCCCCTAATGTCACCCTCCTTGTGTGTAATGGTATTTTTGGCTCTGCTCTCACAGTCCGCTGAAAAAGGGGGGGAAAAATGTCAAAGTTGGCATGAACAATCGCCTTCAGGAATGTGTGGGCTAAAAATGAAATTGTGGCATCATTGACGGGTCGAGGGCTCTGTCATGGGGGGTGAAAAATAACTACAAGACTTTTTCCCTCACCTTGAGCTCTTTTCTGATTTATGTTTTGGAATATTTCAGTCTACTGTACTCATGGATCTTGCTAATAAAACCTAGAAAAACGAACACACGCCAAGTCTGGGGAATAATAATGAGGTCAGTTTTTTTTACACTCTGGGTTTCCCCCATCTTCTTTTGCTTAGACTGTGGTTTCATGATGTGTTATGGGATCCATGAAACAACAATGAAACCAGATGTGCTTAGTAATGTGTCTCTGTACAGTCGCTTTTTTGCAGAAGTACAGAGGCGAGAGCACACCATGTCGTCGGTGTGAGAACTTTGTGCCGTCTAAGCTTTCTGGAAGAGCCGTACTTCTCTTTTATACCTCCTTAAAATAAGCCCCCTCCCATTGGCTGAGCGCAGACCGGTCACTGAATCACATCAGGCCAATTAGAGAGTAACACTTCCTTTGCCGTGAAAGATGTTTCCTGTTGATAGTAAACGTGTGGCCCGCAGAGGAACAGAGAAAGGGAGGGGGCAGGGGGCGCTTGTTGAAACGCCGCCAGTGTTTCTCTGACCTTTGTGGCCTTCATGGCGGAAAAAGTGATGCTGTCGTTGGGCTGAGGTGTGTTTTGACTGTAGGGATGCGTTGGCGGGTAAGAGGCGGCGAGGGTGGAAAGTAACTGAGTACATGTATTCTGATACATATCACTTTTCTGCATTTGAAATATGACAGGAGGACAAAAGGAGAGTCGATCAAACTTTTTGTACCTACCTGGCAGATCGCTGCTCAAAATGTGTGCGAGTGTTGGACTGTTGGGTTAAAAAAAGATAAAGAAATGGTCTAATATGAATCCTCCTGTTTGGTCTCTGCAAGAGAGGAGGTTCCTGCAGCTTATAAACTCTCACAAACAATTCAGCTGAAGCTTTTAGAAAATGTAACCCAAGAAACACTAAAAATGAACCTCAACATGCTACAAGAGGCATCACAAAGCAACAAAGATTGGAGAAAAGTGAAAAAATAACATATACATATAGGTTTATTTGTTAACCTCAATCTCACCCTGTTGCCATTTTACCAACCCTCAGATTTATACTTGCCGTGTCACGTTTTGCTTTATAAACTCTGATTTTCCCCCGCAGAATCAAAAGAAATCATATTTGGACAAGAAGTCAGATACAAATTGACAGGTTGCTACAGTTTCCACATGTGAATGACAGACAGGGACAAAATGTGTGGGAGAAAAGTTGAGATGATCCTGAGGGCTCATCACTAACGGATTGAAAAACATATTAAAGTACGTGTTAGTGTGAAGGTCCCAGATATCTCCACTGATCACACGAGGACACGTTCAATGACATCCTGATTTAATGTCTCTTCACTAAACGATGAATCATAATAGACTACATTAGGCTCATGGTTAGGGTAAGGTTAAAAAATGATTAGAGTTAGAGTCGCCCCCTATTGGCCTTTATAGAAACATAAATATGGGGCTTTTTCCTAATTGGCTCTACTTTTAAAAAACTAAGTGGCTACTTCTATTTCTTTTTTTCAGTTTTCATTGTGACCCTTATAGTGACATGATCCCCAGGTTATATTTAAGTAGCTCACAAAGTCTAAGCAAAGTTTAAAAGTACCGTAAATCCAGAGTATAAGACACATGGGACATTTTTAATGCACAGGTGAACGTACTGTTATGGGTTTTCATGTATTTGAAAAACCCAGTTTCAGTCGGACTGCTGAGGCTCTTTCGCAGATATTGATATTTTGACACATGGATACAAGTTGTTGCTACACTATTTATTGTCACAACACTCATCGATATGTTTTTGTCATGTCAAGTCAGCTGGAAACTGTTATGATATGTTCTGTTTGAGTTAATTTTTCCCTAGTTTTGTGATTTCAATGTATTTTCCTTGTGAAACAGGGGAAGACATGGACTATATATGAACACAGAGGGAAACGAGCAACGAAAGGCAGGTGAGACACTGAAAACACAGGTGAAGACAATTACAGAGGAGGGAAAACTGAGGTAGCAAAGCAAGAGTAGAAAACTGGTATGAAGAATAAGGCCACTTTTAGACGGAAACGCAATGCGGTTGAAACCGCTGTAATGTGCATGCCAGGTCGCTAGGTGGCGCGTGTCGGTGTGACCGCGCTCCCATATAGAAGAACAACATATACGTAGAACAACTTCCGTTCTACATTAAGGATTTGATGCAAATAATTCAGACGCCTCCTCTGCTGAGCGGTATGATCCGTGAGGATTCTGAACAGGTCGAAATTGAGCTCCTGCCCGTTCAGTAATAACGACAGCGCGACTCGAATGTCTAGCATGGTTGTTGTTGTTATTTTCAAGGAAGCTGCGCATGGCTATGATGTCATGAACGTGAGCCGACGTGAGCCATGGCGTCACAGGTTTGACCGTTTTCAGCGTTTTTGTACTTTAGACGAAAGCGGGACTAGCAGAGCGTTTACAACATTTCCACTCTGGAGGGGGTTTTCACTTTGTTATGTTTTCATCTCCTGAAACCGCAGTTGCTGTCTAAACGGACCCCCCTAAACGAAACTAAATTTTTCCGTTTTCTATGGAGACCGTT